ATGTTATTTTTGATATTCAATAGTAAAATGTACATCTCTTTCTCTCTCTCTCTCTCTATGTGTATATATATATATATTTGTGAAATGCCTTCAGCCTACTTCTAAAGAATTTTAAACAAACTAGACGACGGATGGCCCGAGAGCGTAGAGGAGCAGAGTCTTCTGTTGTTAGTATGGAGACACTATATTAGAGATGTATTATAGGCAGACGAGAAGAGTAGTATCAAGACAATATATGACTAGTACAAGACAATAGTTTGCATCGTATTTTTGTAAAGTTTTTCATACACAGAACTTTTTACAGACAGACGCTTTTGCACACAGAGACTTTTACACACAGAGACTTTTAACACAGAGACTTTTACACACAGACGCTTTTACACACAGACGATTTTGCACACAAACACTTTTACACACAAACACTTTTACACACAGAGACTTTTACACACACACAGACGCTTTTACACACAGAAGCTTTTACACACAGAAGCTTTTACACACAGACGCTTTTACACACAGACGCTTTTACACACAGACGCTTGTTACACATAGGCTCTTTTACACACAGACGCTTTTACACACAGACGCTTTTGCACACAGAGACTTTTACACACAGAGACTTTTACACACAGAGACTTTTACACACAGACGCTTTTACACACAGACGATTTTGCACACAAACACTTTTACACAAACACTTTTACACACAGAAGCTTTTACACACAGAGACTTTTACACACAGAAGCTTTTACACACAGACGATTTTGCACACAAACGCTTTTACACAAACACTTTTACACACAGACGCTTTTACACACAGACGCTTTTTACACATAGGCTCTTTTACACACAGACGCTTTTACACACAGACGCTTTTACACACAGAGCCTTTTACACACAGACGCTTTTACACACAGGCGCTTTTACACACAGACGCTTTTACACACATACACTTTTACACACAAACGTTTTTACACACAGACGCTTGGACACACAGACGCTTTTACACACAGAGGCTTTTACACAGGCGCTTTTACACACAGAGACTTTTACACACACAGACGCTTTTACACACAGAGCCTTTTACACAAAGACGCTTTTACACACAGACGCTTTTACACACAGACGCTTTTACACACAGAAGCTTTTACACACAGACGCTTTTACACACAGACGCTTTTACACACAGACACTTTTACACACAACACTTTCACACACAGAGGCTTTTACACACAGGCGCTTTTACACACAGACCCTTTTACACACAGACGCTTTTACACACAGACCCTTTTACACACAGACACTTTTACACACAACATTTTCACACACAGAGGCTTTTACACACAGAAGCTTTTACACACAGACGCTTTTACACACAGACGCTTTTACACACAGACGATTTTACACACAGACGCTTTTACACACAGACGCTTTTACACACAGACCATTTTACACACAGACACTTTTACACACAGAAGCTTTTAAACACAGAAGCTTTTACACACAGAAGCTTTTACACACAGACGCTTTTGCACACAGACGCTTTTACACACAGACGCTTTTACACACAGACTCCTTTACACACAGACGCTTTTACACACAGACGCTTTTACACACAGACGCTTTTACACACAACACTTTCACACACAGAGGCTTTTACACACAGAAGCTTTTACACACAGAGGCTTTTACACACGGAAGCTTTTACACAGGCGCTTTTACACACAGACGCTTTTACACACAGACGCTTTTACACACAGACGCTTTTACACACAGACCCTTTTACACACAGACGCTTTTACACACAACCGCTTTTACACACGGCACTTTTACACACAGACACTTTTACACACAGACGCTTTTACACACAGACGTTTTTACACAGACGAAAGCGTTACGATTGACCAAGTAAAATCGCAATTTTTCCTCAGTTTTTGACGTCCAACGTCCATTTCGTGCGTAAGGGTTGCGATTGACAACTCAAAGTCGCAATTTTTCCTCAGTTTTTGACGTCCAACGTCCATTTCGTGCGTAAGGGTTGCGCGGGACACTTCAAAGTCGCAATTTTTCCTCAGTTTTTAACGTCCAACGTCCATTTCGTGCGAAAAGGTTGCGCGGGACGCTTCAAAGTCGCAATTTTTCCTCAGTTTTTGACGTCCAACGTCCATTTCGTGCGTAAGGGTTGCGCGGGACGCTTCAAAGTCGCAATTTTTCCTCAGTTTTTAACGTCTCCAACGTCCATTTCGTGCGAAAGGGTTGCGCGCGACCAATAAAAGTTGCAATTTTTCCTCAGTTTTTGACGTCCAACGTCCATTTCGTGCGAAAGGGTTGCGCGCGACGCCTCAAAGTCGCAATTTTTCCTCAGTTTTTGGCGTCCAACGTCCATTTCGTGCGAAAGGGTTGCCGGCGACGCTTCAAAATCGCAATTTTACCTAGGTTTTGGACGTCCAACGTCCATTTCGTGCGAAAGGGTTGCGTTTCGTGGCGCTCCGGCGGCACCGCCCCCGCCTTAAGAGAGAATAGGGGAAGAGCGAGAGAGATCTGCAGATGTGAAGGTGTGAAGATCTAGATCTGCAGGTGTGAGGGTGTGAAGATCTAGATCTGCAGGTGTGAGGGTGTGATGATGTAGATCTGCAGATGTGAAGGTGTGAAGATCTAGATCTGCTAGATCTGCAGATGTGAGGGTGTGAAGATCTAGATCTGCAGGTGTGAGGATGTGAAGATCTAGATCTGCAGGTGTGAGGATGTGAAGATCTAGATCTGCAGGTGTGAGGGTGTGAAGATCTAGATCTGCAGGTGTGAGGGTGTGAAGATCTAGATCTGCAGTGTGAGGGTGTGAAGATCTAGATCTGCAGGTGTGAGGGTGTGAAGATCTAGATCTGCAGGTGTGAAGGTGTGAAGATGTAGATCTGCAGATGTGAGGGTGTGAAGATCTAAATCTGCAGATGTGAGGATGTGAAGATCTAGATTTGCAGGTGTGAAGGTGTGAAGATGTAGATCAGCAGATGTGAAGGTGTGAAGATGTAGATCGGCAGATGTGAGAGTGTGAAGATCTAGATCTGCAGGTGTGAAGGTGTGAATATCTAGATCTGCAGATGTGAGGGTCTGAAGATCTAGATCAGCAGATGTGAAGGTGTGAAGATGTAGATCGGCAGATGTGAGAGTGTGAAGATCTAGATCTGCAGGTGTGAAGGTGTGAAGATCTAGTATAACGGCTGCTTTTTTACGAAGAACCCTTCGCAGGCGCTCTCGGGAATAAAAAAAGCGAAAACTAATCCAAAAAAAAGCAAAACCCAATCCAAACCTCAATTAGAAAAAAGCAAAAAAATGCAAAAACAGAGTAAACTCCAATCCAAACCTCAATTAGAAAAAAACAAAAAAAAACAAAAAAAAGCAAAACCAAAAGCAAAAAAACAACAAACTATTTGTTTTCACTTTTGTTTCGTTTTTTTTCCGCTTTGTTTTTGTTTTTTTTTGCTTTGTTTTTGTTTTTTTTTCCGCCTTTGTTTTCGCATTTTTTTCGTTTTTTTTCTTTCTCAGGTGACCTGATGACCGGGACCTTCGAAAATGTAAGAAACTCGTGGAAAAAAACGAAAAAAAGGGGAAAAAAAACGAAAAAAAAAACGAAAAAAACGCGAAAAAAACGAAAAAAAAACGAAAACAAAGCGAAAAAAAAGTGAAAAACAGTGAACGTTGCTTCTTTTTTGTTTTTTTTTGCTTTTGGTTTTGTTTTTTTTTGTTTTTTTTTGTTTTTTTTTGTTTTTTCTAATTGAGGTTTGGATTGGAGTTAGCTTTTTTTCTTCCATTTTTTTTTGTTTTTTCTAATTGAGGTTTGGATTGGGTTTTGTTTTTTTTGATTGGTTTTCGTTTTTTTTAGTTCAATTTATTTTTTTATCGTTTTATAGAAGTTGCCTGTAAGCCGTGTCACAAATATATATACATATTATACATATATATATATATATACACATACACAAATATATAAGGTAGACGTAGACCCTCAAAACGGATCTCCCTGCTATTTCTCAGGTCAATTCCATAACCAACCCTGCACCTTTTTCGAGACTCTCGAACCAGGAGATGGTGAGGAAAAAGGAAATGATGCCTTTGCAGAAGGGCGAGAAGCTGCTTGGATCTCTACGCCAAGCCGGCCAAGCCAGCCAGGTTGGTCGTCCGGGGGATTTAATCATCAAGACGTAGAGGTATAGCGATCAAGAAATGAAGATGGGACAAATTTGTCTGGCCCTGGGATATTGGGCTTGCGATCGTTTAGTTCAGCCTATCCCCATATTTTGCACCTAACATGGTTTTGTCCTTCCTTTGAAAGGGGGAGAATCTGCCATGATACTTCTACCAATATCCTACCACGCTCATGCATTTTCAATAATTGAAGCTCCAAATTTGTACTGCATGCCGGCAAGCCATGCTTTTGTGTTTGGTTAAATACTCTATAAGTCTGTAACCCAAACATGGGATGCAAAGCAACAGAGGGCTCTTCAGGGAGGTCCGTTGGTTCAACTGGTTGAGGCAGCCATGGGGCAGTGTTTGCAGCAGGTCAATGGGGTCATTTGACTTGTGTCGTTAGGTTTGGTATTTATTGGCTGAACGAAAATGAATCGAGTGGCCGTAAACGACGTACATATATATATATATATATTTACATGTACGTATATATTATGATTTTATTTGTGCATATATGTATATATTAAATGCAGTATATGAAAGTGTCATTGCCCAGTGACCACTTTGATTGCGAGGCTCCTATGACCTTGAGAACGCGAGCACTGACTTCAACTACCGATGCCTTGGTTCGAAACGTATCATGCCCCCACGTTGCACGTTTTTCAGTTTGGCCAATTGAGCCATAACATACTTTTGAGGCGCCATGACAAAACAGCTGCAGTTGAATTTGAGCGAGTGCATTTGATTTGACAGATCCTGCCGCACGCATTTCGCTGTGTTGGCAGCGGAGCCTTTCGAGCTCCAAGCTCCCTCTGATCATGATGGCCGCAGACGAATCTCCAGTTGACACTGAGTTGGATTGGGACGCCAACGACTTCGATGTTGACTCGATGAATCCTGCGATGAGCCATGGTCTTATTCCACCGCCTCCCGATTACCATTCTGGCTGTGACACGTCTCTACTTTCCGAAGAGCCTCCAGCATTGAGTCCCATCGACCAGTCGGATGATGGACGACCTCGCTGGCAGTGTGCGGTTTGCAATAGTCAGAAGTGGCGTTGGATGGCTGGTGGATACCGATGTGAAGACTGCGGTCACGATAGATTTTACGATGCAAATCAGTCGACAGGTCGTTGGGTTTTTGTGCCCCACGGTTCTCCGATCCCACATCTCGGAGATTCCCTGGCTGGCAATGATCAGAAGCTTGGCGATCCAGGTCCCTCTCGACCACCTTCAAGCGCTGGCGGTGGTGAGAGGCAAGCAGAATCAGAATTGGCGACCACAGATCCGAGTGTTGATCCTGACACGATGTTTCCCATGAGTCGACGACAGCGGCGAGCAGCTCGACGATTGGATGCGACTGGATGCGGGGTCAAAACCGGAGTTGGTCATAATGACAACAATCAGCAGTCAGGTTTGGGTGCGATCAACAATGGTTTGAGCCTTGGTGGACAGCAACAGCTTGACAGACAGACAAGCGGTGGCAATCAGTGGCGTGACGACATGCTGAAGGGTTTGAACACTCTGGCGACGAAGAAGAAAGACGATGATTGGAATCTGAAAAAGGGTCCATCTCCTGGTGTGAAGTACAGAGGGGGAACTCCTCCAGCTCCTCCATCCTGGTCATATGCAAAAGACGATCTGCGCGCGTTCCAAAAGTGGGAGCGCAAAGTGGAGATTTGGAAGATTCAGGTTGCAACCTATCTGCCACCCAATGAAGCTGCTATGCTCCTTTATTGCAGTCTCAAAGGTGAAGCAGAAGAAGAACTGGAATGGTGTGATGTTAAGATGATCAACAATGACAATGGGGTTCAATACATCATTGACAGCCTTCGGCAGCCTTTGATGACACGTGCAGTCTATTTGAAACGAAGATACTTGCATGAGTTTGAGTATATTCAGCGTGGTGCAAACGAAACGATCCGTGCTTTCTGCAATCGCTATAACAGGGTTGAACGTAGTCTGCATTCTGTGGGCATTGATGTTCAGGGCATGTATGACAGCGAAAGCAGGGGCAGTCGACTTTTGGAACGACTTCGCCTGGGCCTTGATCAGCAGCGTTTGATTTTGGTTGCGAGTGGACAGTCCTTGCAGTTTGATGTCATCCGTGAAGCAGCTCAGATTCAGTTTCCTGAACATCGACCGACACCTGCAGTTGTGTACTCACGTGAGTTTGACAACCCTGGTAGATCAGAAAGTTCCCAAGCATCAAGACCTTCGCAGCCATATCAGAGACCTCTGGACAAAGGTCATTCCAAGGGCAAGGGCAAAGGCAATAGCAAGACATCCCATGGGTCTGGACCTTCCAAGACTTATGTGACTGAGGTTTCCAATGAACAACCTCAGGATCAGGAAGATGATGATGAGCCTCAGCAAGAGGCCGACGATGCTGAGCCTTTGGATGATGCCGACGAAGTTGGAGAGACGGCAGATGACGACCAGTCCAACACTTTGGAAGAAGATTTGGCTGAAGTGGCGCGTTGCTTGACAGTGACTGCTCGCAGACTTCAGGGGATCACTCTTGGAAGAAAGTTTTCAGGTCCTCCGAAGTCCCTGCAACAGCGCAAGGCCGAGAGTCACTGCGCAGTTTGCGGTGAGCGGGGCCATTGGAAGGGTGACCCTGAATGCAAGCAGTCTGGCGGCACTGACTCTGGCACTGGCAAGGGTGGATCCAAGCAAAAAGGGTCCAATGATCGAAAGCAACAGTCTGGCGGCAAAAAGGTGTTCCAGGTGAGCCATCCAGGGGGATATCATCGTGAGGTTGCCTTCAACGACACCCCTGAATATGACAAGAGCAACCCCTCGGATGAGACCTATGGCAAGGCTTTCACTTCGTTTATGGTTTGGGTCCCGGACTTTAAGATAAACCAGGTCTATGGCAACACCGCCAATTCCTTTAACCATTACCTCATCCTTGACACCGCATGCCAGAAGACATGTTGCAGTACGTCATGGTTAACTTCCTGGGAAAATCATGTCATGAAGTTCAACATCTACCCCAAGACTTTTCCATGTCGGGAACCTTTTGAATTTGGACACGGCCCTACTCAGTACAGTGAACAACATGCTCTTTTGTTTTCATGTTTTGATGGAACCCCTGAGACCACATGCATCATCGGAGCCAGCGTCCTCCCGACCACAAACGACATCCCATTGCTTGGCAGCAATCAGCTTTTGCGTGAGGCTCTCGGTGCAATCATCAACTTGCCGGAGAACCAGGCCCATTTGACCAAGCTGGGGTGCACGGTTCCGATTTTGATGTTGAACGGTCATTTGGCTTTGGACATTTCAGCATTTCCTTCACATGTTGATCAGACAATGCAGTGGAAGTTTGTTCATGAACATGCTGATCTCAAGTCCATTGATGAGTTTGCAACAGTTGAGAATTTGATGGCCACCCGTGAACCTTCTCTCAAATCAGCAGCACCTGATCTACACGATCAACCTGACTTTTCCAATTCGATTGCCGCGACAGCCGATGCCAGCTCCACCCAAATGGCTTCAGCATTGGCGACGCTGCGTGGCAGCTCTGTTCCATGCCGAGATCCTGCTTCTACGAGTGATGACCCAAGCATGCCGTCTCGGTCTTCGACCTCGAATGTGGCTGCAGCATCAGGATCCAATGAACATGGAACAGATGCAAGCTCTGTGGGACAAGGCAACCGCCCCATGCGAGCACCCGAAGTTCAATCGGTATGGAAACCGCCACGGCAGGTACAGTCAGTGCCTGCAGTGCGAAAAGAAATGGCAATGGAACGAAGATCTTCAAAAGTGGGTCGAACCAGCTCCATCGCGAAAGCAGCAGCAGCCGCTGCCTTTACCATCCTCGTCAACAGCTGCGCACTTCAAGGACAAGCGGTACCAGCCCAAGTTCTACCAGGAACATGCAGCGGATCCACCATGCCTCCCTCTGGATTCCATGCCCGAGCCGAAGAGTTCATTGAAACCTTCGAGGGCATCGAGGACCCGATCGGCTTCAGTCAAGAGAAGCCAGGAAGAGAATCAGGTGGTGTTCGTGGAAGACGAGGAGATGGAGGACTTCGACTGGGCCCTGGTCCAAGACGTGCCCAATCAGGGCTGAAGAAAGGTGCCCAGACTTGGTTGACAGGTCATTTGAAGGCCCAACAGAAGATCTATGAGAATGAAATGAAGATCATGGACAACATCCCATGCTACCGCACCTTGCACTTGGAAGGACCTCACACTGATGTCCTGACCTTGGATCTCATGGAAATCTTTGCAGGCCGTGGAAGGGTTTCAGAACTGGCACCGAGATTTGGTCTTCGAGCCGTTCAACCGATCGACATGAAGTATGGCCACAATCTCCACGCCCCAGAAGTCCGAGACATGGTGCTCAGGGCTGTATACAACTTGAAACCCCTGCTGTTGATGATCGAGTGGCCTTGCAAACAACTTCGAGATGAAGATCGTCCATTGGTGCGTTTTGGTGTTGAGCTATGTCGACTCCAAGATGAAGGCCGCCGACTATATCTTGGCGAGAATCCATTGAGATCAAGAATTTGGGATGAGCCAGAGGTCCAGTCACTTCGTGACGATCCTGATTGTCTTCAAGTTGAATGTGAAGCTGGTGCCTACGGAGCTGAGGATTCCGAAGGCTTTCCCATAGTGAAGCCTCATCGGTGGATCACAAACAGTGAGTCCATCGCAGCTCGGCTTGGTGAAAAGATGACCTATGAGCAGAAGATGTACACCAAGCCCATTGAAGGCAAGGAGACCAAGAAATCTGGCGAATACTGTGATGGCTTGGCTCTGGCAATTTTGAGTGGACTTCGAGAAGAAGCTTCAATTCGAAACCCTGGTCGCTTTTCCAGGAAGGTTGCCTCCAACCAGGCCTTCTACCAGAAGATTGGCTCCGATCCAGCGACTTGGAACAACATCATGGCTGAGATTGAGGGACGCTTCACCAGCATCAACAAGAAGCCCTTCTACATCAGCCTCAACGACCCTATCATGAAGAGCATCAGGACTGTGGTGCCGTGGAATCTCAAAAGAATCCAAGCAGCATGGTGTCCAACGACAAGACGGATGCCAACCGACTTTCCCTACACACATCGCGCCTGCGTGATGGTGACCAATGACGATGAGATCATGATCGAAGACGAAGATATGACATCAGTGGCATATCCCAAACAACGATTTCAGAAACCAGTTCGAATCGGCCTGTTCATCTACGGTGATGCTCCAGAAGATCAAGATGATCAACCAGTGATTAGATCTGGTAGTGGACCACCTTCGAAGGAAGACCTGGTCCCAGACTTGAGCACGGAAATTTGGTTTGAGAATGCCAAGATTCCGAAGGAGCTCCAGTCCAGCGTTGCTCGACTTCACTGCAACCTTGGGCATCCACCGAAGGCCGAGATCATCAGAATTTTGGCTGCATCTGGAGGACTTTCTTCGGCGACACTCAATGCCTTGGAAGCTCTCAGGTGTGGCTCTTGCATCAGGCTGACCAAGCCTGTGAAACCCCCAACATCTTCTACGGCGACTATCAAGCACCATGGATTTTTCGGAGACCATCTCCAAACAGACATCATCTACGTCAGAATCTTGACTGGCAAGGCCATCCCGGTCTTGGGCGTTTGCTGCGTCAACACCAACTTCCATGCAGCCACAGCGATACACGACCGCTGCCCAGAGACCATCCTGAATGCCTTGAAGCAGATTTGGTACGGCCCCTTTGGCCTTCCCATGTCAATCACGCCAGATGCTGACACGGCATACATGGGCGTTTGTCAGGATTGGCATGTCAACATGGGCATTGACTACAGGATGATCCCAACTGAAGAGGCTTGGAAGATTGGAAAGATCGGCCGACGCAATGCTTTGCTTCGGTCGCTGGCTGAACGACTCATTGACCAACATGGAGTTTCTACAGTAGAAGGGCTACAAGATGTTTTGGTGGCCTGCATTTTCTCCCTCAACAGCAGCACATACAGCCACGGTCGTTCACCATACCAGGCGGTGTTTGGACGAATTCCAAGGCCAGTTGGAGATCTTCTTTCAGACAGCCGTGCATTGACCATCACCAACACCGACCACGACCCAGCTCTTCGACCTGAACTTCTTCGAGCCGAGGCCATCACCGCCTTGATGCAGATCTCATCTTCTCAGGCTGTGAAGAGAGCCTTGCTGCGGAAGACCCGGAACCAGAACGACTTGGCCAACCTCCAGCCAGGTCAAGCCGTGGCCTATTGGAGACTCCAAGGGCGATCGCGACAGCACAAGAAGGGCAGTTGGTGTCTGGCGAGATTCCTGGCCTATGACCCAGACAAGAAACATGCTGGCTACAGGTGGGCAAGAACTCCATTCGCGCTGGGGTCAACCAGTTGCGATTGGCCAGTGGATGGGAATCATGGACACCGTCTACTGAAGATCTTCAACTTCTCAAAGATGCCCGACGCAATGTGGCTCAGGGACTCTGGCTTGATGATTCTGGGCCACCACCCACTGAGGAGCAAGAGATGACTGTGGATGACGAGGTGTTCAACTTCAGACCTCACAAGATGACTCGTCTGGAAGAACCTCGACATGACGAGGAACAGATCCTTGAAGGACAGCCCCTTGTTCCACTACCTGAAGCATCAGCATACGACGCACCTGAGCCATACAACCTAGCAACGGTCCCGGCAGCCCCCACGCTCCTACCACTGAGCAGGGGCATGGACCACACACACCAGCCTGAAGCAGACAACCAGCCACAGCAGAACATACAGCGACAACAACATCCGTTTCAGCAAACGACCATACAACAACAACAACTACTACAAGAGCAACATACACAGAACATACACCAGCAACACTTCGATCAACGACACATCACAATCAACGTGGATTCACCAACATACCAGCAGTTTGGTCCGAGGGTAAGCTTCGGTCCGCTACCACCGACTCCACGACAACGACGTTCCGCAGCAGCACCGTACACACCACCAGCACAACCGACTACACCAGTTCCAGAACAAAGACCAGCAACTGAAGACACACAACCACAGGTCATGGCACGACCTGCTACACCAGCAATTGAAGCAACAACCACTGAACCACAACAAGCACCTGATGAGTCGATGATTCCGACAACAGGAATACCACCAACACATCAACCACCACAGACACTTTTCACAATCTACGACAACTCTACCGCTACATTAAAACCACTACACTGGGACGGCTCCCCAGACATCACTGACCCTTTTCACCACCACCAAACAGCATATAGAACATACCTTACAAGCAACAAACGCAAGATCGACATGAAGGGCATTACCGATCCAGACAGGTCCGATGCCGAGACCTCAGACGACGATTTGTCTCTGTCCAATAACAGATCCATGACGAGACAAGAACAAAAACAGTTGGATCGTGAAATTCCATGGAGAGACATCATGGAACTCCCCAAGATGGACTTTGATGCCTTCGTGGGATCTGCCCAGAAAGAATTTCAGGGGTGGATGAAGTGGTCAGGAGTGGTGCCCCTGACAAGCCGGGAAGCCAAACGAGTCGAAAGCAATCCCAAGCTCCTCAAACGCATCCTGAAGAGCCGCGCTGCTTACCGGGATAAGGCTCGTGGAACAGGAGCCTTGAAGGCGAAAACAAGAGTCGTCATCATTGGATGCGGTGATCCCGATCTCAGACAATTGAGCAGGGACAGCCCAACACCCAGCAGGTTGAGTGAGTTCGTAGTGCTGGCCGTTGCGTCATCCGGCGCAAACAAACTGTTCAATGGAGACAACAGAATTTGGCATCTGTGGTTGTCGGACGCTGCTCAGGCGTTTCTTCAAGGTCGACAAGATGAGTCCGAAAGAAGTGGCCCCATCTTCATGAGACCTCCCAGAGATCCAATTCAAGAAGCGGCCGGTGCATTCCCAGCCGAGCTCTACCAAGTTGTGGGCAATTGCTATGGCTTAAGCAATGCCCCTAGAGTTTGGTTCAACCGAGTGACTGAGGAGTTGGTTGAACACGACTTCCACATTCACAGTTTCGACAAATGCTTGTTCTATCATGTTGGCAGTGATGGATTGTTAGACTGCGTTCTGATTGTGCACGTGGATGACTTTATGGCCACGTTCAGCAGTTCTTTTGACAAGACGATTCTTGAAGGTCTTTTCGAATGGGGCTCCGTGACACTCATTGATGAGGATCACTCTGGCGAGTACCGCGGCAAAGAGATCAAGATGCTGAAGAAACCTGATGGCCGAATTCACTACACGGTCACGCAGCAGTCCTTCCTTGCCAACCTCCAAGAGGGCAAGCTCAAGCAGGGCAGATTGAAAGCAGATGATCTTCTGAATGATGAGGAGATCAAAGAATTCAGATCAGTGAGTGGATGTATCCAGTGGTTGGGCGGACAGTCTCGGCCAGACTTGGCCTCCACAGCTTCGCTTTGCAACAAAGGCAGTGAGACAAGGACCTCAGACCTTGGCCGTCTTCACGAAGCTCTCAAATATGCCAAGCTGACCGACACCTCCGGCTTGATTTTTGGAGATGTGCCTTTGAACCGAGCATCATGCTTGGTGACCTTTGCCGACAGCAGCTGGGCAAATGCGGCCAACTATTCATCCCAGTTTGGGGTGATCATTGCTCTTTGTCCATCACAGGTGACAGAGACGATATGCAATGGCTTGATCTTGGACTGGAAGTCTGGGCGTAGTCCAAGAGTTTGCCGTTCAACCCTTGCTGCTGAAGCATGTGCCGCAGATGAAGGCACAGATAGGGCATGCTACATCAATCTGGTTTTGACTGAACTTCTGTACCAAGTGCCAGCCTGGCGCGGTGACATGAAGCTCGCAATGGTCCAGTGCACGGACGCGAAGAGCCTCTATGATTGCCTCGTGGCCCAGAACCCCTCTGTTTCAGACAAACGTTCGATGGTGCAGATTAGGTCGGTTCAACAAGCTCTCCGGCCCAGTCAGATCAGATGGCTTCCAACGATTCTGATGGTGGCAGATGGATTGACGAAGTTGGATGTGAAGCTTCGTGAGATGCTTCGCCAGTGGTGCATGTTTCCAAAGGTGCAGTTGCGAGAAAGCACTTCAAGGTCAAAAACAAAGACCAGTGAAAGTGTCATTGCCCAGTGACCACTTTGATTGCGAGGCTCCTATGACCTTGAGAACGCGAGCACTGACTTCAACTACCGATGCCTTGGTTCGAAACGTATCATGCCCCCACGTTGCACGTTTTTCAGTTTGGCCAATTGAGCCATAACATACTTTTGAGGCGCCATGACAAAACAGCTGCAGTTGAATTTGAGCGAGTGCATTTGATTTGACAGATCCTGCCGCACGCATTTCGCTGTGAATGCATGATTCTACACTCCTCAGGCAACAGGTTGGGGTCTGTGATGCAACAGCTTGACATTTGAATCAGAATCACTTCCAAATGTGGGCTTCCTGCAAGGCCATGAACAAATACAGAGGGTCCTGGCGCCAAGTTGATGGGCCGGTTGGACCCTTGCTGGAGGTTCGATAAAATCACAAGACAAGCAGAGGCACATGCTGCCTTTTCAAAACTGCATGAATGGTGCCTCCATCTTCCGGCTGTTGAAATCCTGTAGTGACGATAGTGAACCTGATTGAAAATATTGAAAAATGAATAGGAAGTCATAGGGAATCTAACTTCCGTCAGTGGAGTGGTCTGAGGCTTGGCCAAAAGCCCGTGAAGGCCATGTCTGCCTCGGGATGCCTCGGGTGTGTCATAGGCAGAGGGTACCCCAAAATTGGATGTTTGCGACACGATGAATGTCCAAAAAATCATCGCCCGGATCCGTGCAGGTGGGACCCTCGCCCATTACTTCCGAGTCCAGAGAAAGCTACAGTCCGGTGCCTTTTCGACGTATTTTGAAGCGCCACAGATCCAAGTTGTTACAGAAAATTGGAGTACAACAAAGGCAGACAGCAATGTTTTGACCCATATTTTGAATGGCAACCAGCATTTTTTGGAACGACCCCGGAAACGATTTGAAAACCTGAACGAAACTTCAGACGTGGTGAGCAGTCCAAAAATCCAGAGCCCAAATCGAGAGAATCTGGATCTGATGAAATATATGAAATGTTGAAATGCTCTTGGTGCATAGCTGGCATAACTATCCCGGACTATCCCATTCTATGAATGAATGGTTGGCAAATCCTCCATTTCACGCCCGAAGGTCGAACCACAGGGAGCCTGGAGAAGGTGGTGCAGGTTGGAAGCTGAAATTTCGATGGTGATGACTGATGGTGACCAGATGTTTTGCTCCAACTCTGCAGATTTGTTAATTTGTGATGTTTTTCTTCTCCTCAAAGTAGTATTTGTTATGTATCATTTTTTTTGGGGTGTTCAATTCTTGAGCCATGGGCCATTTATTTGGAAACTTTGCCATCCCGAAGATCCCACAGATGTGATTTATCTCACAGATGTGCTGATTGTCTTTGGATGTTGGCGCCTTGGCGCCTTCCCTGATGGTCCAGGGGATGTTTACAATCCATGGAAGGCAGACCCTCGCTTCAACGATTCCTTGTGCCACACGTTAGGCGCGGTGAAGCCTCAAGGGCCCAAAAAGGGCTGTGTTTCTCATGTTTTTTTGGATGTTTCCGCATGTATGCTGGCAGAATCAGCAAATTTCCACCAGACTTTTTTGTTCCATGGGGTTTTTCAGGGCCAAAAGAAAAAGCCTTGGGAGACCTGTCATTTTCTGTCACTTCACAACAGGTTCCCCGTTCAATTCCACGAGTTCTTTGAAGGAAGGCTTCAGATGGCATGTGAGGAGCTGAACTGATGAAGGTTGATAGAGAAGTGCCAATGGGGATGATGGGTTGTTTGCAAATTCTTTTGGGGGGGACAGTGGCATGATAGTTCTGATAGTGGGAGATAATCTAGATGATTGGGTTTCCGGACAATGAGGGATACTGCGACACCCGGAAATAGGCTAAACGTCTGAGTAGGGGAGAGGGGGATATGCACTGTTTTGCACACAATAAGGTATGTCAAACAGTGGGAAGGCGGGTTGATGTTTTTACGCTTACTGGGTTGTTGCTGAGGGCCAAAAGACACCTTCAGCCCCGTTTCGCACGTATGACAACCTGGTCGGGAACCCAATGAACGAAGCATACCAAGACATGCCCCCAAGAAATCAATCATTGTTGATGCGGCTCAAACTTCGGTAAAATGCACCGTTGAACATCGCAAAAACGGATGGTATTTTTGCGCCCCAAATATGGCTGATGGTTCAGGATGGTTCAGGGGCGAAGTTTTCGACCCATCCCCAAGTCCACTTCATGTCATGTTGGATTTTCCAGCTGTCAGGGTGTGTTGCCTGGGCGTTCTGCCTCCTTATGGGTCTCCTCCAGTCATGCGGATTTCCGCCACCTGGCTGGGTAGATGGAAATGGAGTTTGATGCGGAAAATGATCGAACACCCCCCTGTGTTCTTGGTGGGGAATGGCTAAATATGGCTACTGTAATGTTCCTGCTATATCTTCTATAATTTTGCTTACCTTATGATGATGCGGAAAGGGCCTAGGGCCCTGCTGGACTCCAAATAGATTAACATTTTTTTTGTGGTAACTGGTAACTGTGAGCAAACATCCTTTTAGAAAAGAGGGATCTCAGTGTGGTTCAGGTTGGCCTCCAAAACAAAAGACTTGCGAAGCAAAGAATCTGAGTCTGTCAGTCTGTCAGAGGTAATGGGGATCAAGACTGATCAGCCGACCGAAACCCTCGCCATCCGATCCAACTGAGTTTGTCGAGGCTGGGATGGTCCCAAGAGACGTCAAGGGTCTGCACCTTAGGGACCTTGGTCACGGGATGTCATGGGGTTCATGGAAAATTGGAAAGCTCGGCTCAATGGATCATCGGTAAACTTTTCCATGTCGATTTTGTTGGAAACAGCTAGGAGTCAAATTTAGTTCATTCAGTCAGTTCTGAGATTTGAGTGAAACCAAGCGTGGTTCCATGAAGTAGGCAGTGGCTTCTGAGGCGTTGAGAACGTGAGCCTTGATTGGCATCAGTTTGCAAGTCCTTCAGGAATTTTGGAAGGCTTTGAAGCAGCAGTCACTTTCGTGAGTTTGAAACCATTGGTGCTGTTGGATTGTCATGGTGGAGTATTAGGAATACCTTTTGAGGAGTTGACTTTCCGGCCATTTTCTACTCGGCCACGAAATCCCGAAATCGGCAACCCTTCAGTGTCCGCGAAGCGGCAACTGACTTAGATCTAGTTCTTTAGGTGCCTGGATCTGGGATTGCTGAAACACCCACTGTTCGATGGGGAACCCACTCTTCCATGGATCTTGGTGCCCCATAGAATTATTAGTCTTTCTTCAAAGTCTTTCGGCAAGGCGAGAGTGACAATTATCACGGAAATGTCAGGGAGTAGACTGGTCAGCAATCCCTTGAGATGGGCGAAATGTAGGGCTCTTGTAGGGCTGTTGGCTGAACTTGTCAGCTAGCGACCGCGCAATGTTTATTGCTGGCAGCCACCTTTTCCCGCATACCCCTGGACGTCAGACATGTAGCACAGTACGTTATGAGCCCAATCTGGGGGATGGACACCAATGGACAGCTATTGATTAACAAGGATGGAACTACCAAGTGGGACAGCGTACGCAGTGCTGTTGGAGCCTCATAATGGGAAACCAGGTGTTGTAACATGATTGAGCGAAGATGAAGGAAATCGATGTGTGTTGACATAGTGACCTGAATAGGATTCATGCCCTGCTTGACATCTACATCTCGTTATCCACCACCATGACTTGGCTCCCTGTGGTTCTGGTTTATCGCTTCCAGGGAGCATCGTTTTGGAGCTTCCAGCTGGACTCCCAAGCTGCGCAAACTCTGGTGCAGTTGGCATTTGGAGTGTGGTGTCCGGCGTCGAAACAAAAAACGCTGCAAAAGGCTGTGGGTGTGTTCCACGTATTCCACGTGTAGCTGGCACCCATGGGAAACACCACCGGGTAGATGGGAAAATGAAGTTGTTTCAGGGCATCCATCACCCGATGAGGTGTGCACAAAGTATATACTTTTTTTTTCTTTTTTTTCTTTTCTCTCTCTCTCTCTCTCTTCTTGATGATGATGATGCTGATGGTGTATGTGTATATAGACATGACATATTCTTTATAGATGCATAGATGTCTGAAACGTGCGGATTGCCTCGCACCCTCTGTCCATAGCACTTCTTTCTTCGCCTGCTAATCATGTTAGGCGAACTGTGAGCTGCTTCAAGATTCAATGCGGCCATTTGATTCAAGCACCAACTTATAGATGCATGTAGGTATCCAGTATCTCTTTATACCCATACAGCCTGTGGCGTGGTCATCCGTTCCACTTCTCCATGTCTCACACATGAGATCCCTGGAGTTGAAATTGCGCTTGTGGGTCACATCCCAGACGTGGATGATGGTTTCCTTCTGATTTTTCCCTTAAAGCAATCCATTGAAACTATTTCTGACGATCCAATTTCAACATCCAAATCCTATCCAAAACAGTAAACTATGGTTTCCTATCCATTGATCTAAGAAGCACGTATCCAGCTATTATCAAAAAAACATTATCACTATTCTCAATCATTATTTTTGAATACCATCATATGGAGAGTGATAGTTGGATGCATGTCATTCAATGATTACAACCATTATTCATTAACATAAGTTTCTATTTTCAATTACGTTCAACTACTTATCAACTATATCAGATAGTAGAATCACAATCATTAACTGTCAGATTAGTTACCATTGTTTAAAAACCACAATTACCATCAGATTATTTACCATCATTCATCATCATCATCATCATCATCCTCATCCTCATCCTCATCCTCATCCTCATCCTCATCCTCATCCTCATCCATTAGATTGTCTGGTTACAACTTGATTATTAGTCCAATATCACAATCATGGTTATCTATCTCCAATCAACATCACAAATACTTATCTAAAATTACCCTCATTGGACTGGACAAAACTATCATTGGATTATCATCATTGGATTACCATCGTTGGATTAACCACAGGTACCATCATTGGTACTTTGATTAACTCATTGTTGGAGATTTAATAGCTGGAGATGATTCGATTGACCCAATGATTAACAAAGATTACCCATTGGATATTAATAGTTGCTTAATAGTTGGTTAATAGTTGGATGATTGGAGATTTATTAACCAACTATTAACCAACTATTAGCCAACTATTAACCAACTATAGTCATGGGTTAATAGTCCTTCATCCCATCCGCCCATGACTGCCATGACTGCCAGGCCTTCGAGCTAGCGCAGCGGGTGAAGGATCAGGGCCATGCGGTGTCTTTGATCTGTGGAACGCTTGGGGCCTCGGTCTGGTCCTGGTGAAAGCTTAGTTCATGGGTTTCTGACTGCCTAGGTATCATTAAAAGGTTACTTATCATGGTTATGATTGTTATAGTTATAATGATATATATATATACATATTACTGTATATATATATATTATAAGTGTTATAATTGCTATAGTGGGTATACTGGTTGTAACTACTGAAATGACCCTAATCAAATGCCTGCAATTGTGAATACGATGGAAAGATATGGAAAGTATTTCCTGGATGGTAATTATTATCGGTAGTATTTCCCACATCATTTCCAGGCTTCCGCAACTTTCAGGCATCTCTTCGGGGGGTTGCTTCAGGTATAAGCAAACCATACATATCCATAATGGTTATTACTAGTTATTACGATGATTGTAACTGTGATGATAGTTTAACAGGGGTGTTTCCAAAAAATAACAATTAGGTGTTTAATAATGTATAAAACACGCATTTAACACCCTCTGATGATAGTTTAACAAATGCATCATTGTTTTACATGGGTGTTTCCCCATGACCAACGGGGAGCTCGGTTGCTCGATCACCATTGGGGTTTCACCCCATGACCAATCACTTGGATGATCAGCTGGCGACACAAGCAGTAGGAGTTGATGGCAACATGACACCAGTGAGGCTATGGGTTATGGTTTCCTTCCTTGAATGGTGAGGTCCAGGTCCAATGTCTTCGGAAGTTCCTCCATTTTTTGACATGCTTGGATGGGTATAGGTCAACATTCCTGGCCCCTTGATCTGGGTGGTGATCCTAAAAACATGGCCCCTTCCATGCGAGGCACCAGACTGGTGAAGAGAAGATGGACCCAGCCATGTGGGACACTCAATGCCGCAACTGGTGGCGTTGACACCAACTGGGTCTCCAGGGAGATGCCCCAAAAATGGTCCATCTTAGGGCGGGGGTGATACCGAACCCTGGGATTTTGCGGTTTCAAACGTCAGTCCGACTGGTCTTGGAGTTTCGACGTCTCCCGACTGGTTTGCTAACCTGGCCGGAAGTCCTTATTTGGGAATAGCTAAATCATTGGGCCTTTCAGTTCCTCTGGGATTTTCCAGCCATGTTTGTCACAGCCTGGTTTGAAACGGTGGAAACTCCAAGAGCTGCGCGAGCGACCAGGCGCGACCATGTGATGAAGGAATTCCGGGAGGGCGTGACCAAGGCTCTGCGAAAATCTCGGAATCAAACACGACTGGCAAATCCCCCAAAAATTGTTGGCATTTCAATGGGAAAACCATCTAATAATAAGGGATCCATAAAATCACGATTTTTGGTGGGCACCCGGACCACACTTGTTGCAGTTCAGGTGCTGATCGCCACGGATGTGATCTCCCGCGGGATTGACGTGCCACAGGTGCGGCCAGCGGGGGTTCGTACGTGAACATTTGAAATCCTCCAAATCCATTGGTGACTGTTATGCTATCGTTCTCTTACCCCAGTGGATTTAACACATCCAAAATGCTTCATCCCTTATGCTATCGCCAGCCCCGAAAGTGGATGCCCAGGGTGACATTTTGGTCCATTGGTCCATTGGTACGTTGCAGGTGACACTGGTGGTGAACTATGAGCTGCCATGCCAGTGGAATCAAGTCAACATGGAGCGGATGGGGATGGGCCAAAAGGTCAAAACGTGGCGACCTCTTTGCCGAGAGATAAAGATCCACCCTGGTAGCTACTTTGAAGTAAAGAAGTTGTACCGTGAAGTGATCCAGATAGTGGCTCAGACACTCATTAATCCCATTGTGGCAAAGTAGCATGGTACCTTGGTGAGGAAATGAATAGAGGATGCGGTAATTGCATCAAGATTGTGGAGTTGCAAGTCATGGAAGTTTCAGTCAAAGGCTCGGTTTTAGGATCGAACCCCAACATTTGTGCTCTGCGTTGGCAGCTTTCTTTTTGCATCATTTCATGGCACAAGACCACGGTAATGAGAACGCAGGGTCAATACTGACTTAGTTGATTTTCGCATAATTTCCAAAACACATATTTCTTGCATATCAGTATCATATCAGCATATTATGGGGACCCCTAAGTCAATAAGCTGCAGTAAGCTGGGGGTTGATGAATCGGTTGACGTTCAAAAGTTGAGCAGCTCGTCCGTAGGAGACGTACCTTCACCGAGTTGGTCGAACCGGAAGGTCACCGCCCATTGATTCAGAGGATTTTAACGACCCAATATGGTGAAGTATCCATGAAAATTGGCATTTTTGCGAGATTCATGGGGATTGAATGGGATATATGATATATATATATAATATATATATGTTTCAGTGATGAATGAAAAGAGCAGAAGTAAGAACTAGGGAAGTGTAACATAAGAAGGAAAACGTTTCTATCTCCTCGGGGTCCCTAAATCTGCCTGCTATCAGCACTGCTTCACACAGCAGATTGGCCCAAGGCAATGGTGGGTTAGTTACCCAATGACTTTGGTTTGTGAGTGATACAGTGGCACATATCTGACATGACATATCCAATATCTTTTTTTTGAAGGGAAATGGCAGAAGCTACGGTTGGTCATTGATCGGCCCAGCTTTTCCGGGAAGATCACGGTCACTGGTGGGATTCTGGGATCCAATTGTAGCCTTTGTTTTCTCCACCAATTCCAAGCAGATTTGACTTTGGCACATCACAAGCAGATTTGGAAGTTACGAAATCAAACTCTACCCATCTCTACCCCGAAAATCAGCTGATTTCGAGTCGTTACGGTGGGCCGAAAATCCGCTTCCCATGGCCAGGTTTGGACTCAAAGGTATTGCCGTGAATCTGGTGGAGCCCAATGACCTGCCGCGCTTGGAAGAGGTGCCATGGCTGCCATTCGCGTCATGTTGATGACTGGATGTGAACAACCACGCATAACCACCCAAAAAATATGGTTTTACTAATAGGTTTTGAAGATCTTTGAAGCTGGTTCTCAGGTATTGATGTGTGCTAAAGTGGTTGAAGCTCTGCTGATGTTCCAAGTGCCATAGATGTTGCAAAGCTTCACTTCTTGTGAAGTTGGTTGAAGCATTGACTGAAACAACTTGGACTGGGTCATGCAGCATACTGCACTGCTTTCGTGGTGGCAAAGCGGACAAAGACAATGAATGAGCTATGGAAAATTTGGACATCGCGCTGTTGAGGGAGAGCAAAATCATTTTATCATTACGCTTTGGAGCAGATGTTTGGAAGCTACTACCATATTTAAGGTTTGAAGCATTTTTTCCCACTTCTATTTGGAATGAGTATCGGAGTATCGTCAATCGAGTCACATCAAATCGCTGCCCACGTTTTTCCTCCGGCCAGATCCGCAACTTTTACGAGTGCAAAATCACGGAGTTTACACAGAGTTTTGATGACCTGGAGGAAGCGGGGGGCAAAAAAAAACCCTTGAGCCGGGGAAAACTTGGACATTACAATTCTATTCAATAGTTAGTATTAGTTAGTTACAATAGTTCCTAATTTTTTGCCATAAATGGAGAGAAAGAGATATTTGATCAGCTTTAAAGAGACAGGGTACTTGTATCTTAGCTGTCTTAGCTTGGCCACGGGAGGATGGTTTCGGTTGAGGGCAGTGTTGGTATTGTCATTCTGCCTCCGAAGGACACTCTGCGGAAACTTAGGCCAGGTGGGTTGGGTGAAGAGTATCTTGCCTTGATATCTATGATATCTTGCTTGTTTTAGGTTGGCTGCTTTCGAAGGGAGGGGTCTAACAGGAATACTGTAGGTGTTGCCAACACTCATCTTTGATCATCCTTGAACATATTTTGAGATTTAATGTGTTTGTCTTTGGAGAGTGGTAATTGGCCAATCGAAACAAACTGGCAACTGGAATCACATTTTTCAGCAGATACCGGCAGCCTGCGGGGCATCATATCCTAAGCATTTGGGGCACCGCCAGGTAGAAAAACAAGGCAAGGGCTGCTGTGTGGTAGAGTCCTGAGGATGTCTCTGCTCAGCCTGGGGGTTGAGCCGTAGATACATGGATGGATGCTAGAGAAAAGCTGGAGGAAAGATATGGCCTTTGATGCAGAGATAAAACTGAGAATGACATCCATCTGTGTTTAGCTCGGATCAAGAGCCGTTTTAACAGAAAACGAAGGACGGGCCGCAGCCAGTGGTGGGAAGGGGGAGGCAGAGATACGGCAATCCTCCTCCAGGGGTACCCAGAGTTGTGGCTGATGACACACCAGCAGATTTTCTCCGTTCTGGCCTTGGCTCAGTGAGGAATGACCTAAATTCATCAGCTTTACCAACATTTCAAAAACATCTCAAAATGTGAACCACATGGCCTTCAATGTTGGTCTGGATGTTTTGGATGCAGAGGTTGAATCAGCAAATGGTGTGGCAACCCACCTTTCAAGTTATATGACATACATGCTTTGTAGGGAGTTGGGATCCAGCATATCCAGCATATCACATATGGATGATCGTGAAGTCACGAACACCCCTACAAACAAACCCATGACTTGGTGTCTGTTGGGAGCTCTTTGCTGATCGCGTTGCCATGGCGGCAAGTGGCCTGTCGGCACCCACTCAGGAGCTGCCGGTGCTTCCCCCATCGCCATCCAAAAAAACTGAGTGAATCTCCGCGGGTCAACGACCAGGAGGAGAATGAACGCATGGCACGGACCTTTGAGAGGCCATTTGGCAGTGCTCCTGGTTGTATCTGGTTGTCTCAGTTAATTGGTTCTCTCTTTGTCCCAGGATTTATGTTCTCGAGTTGGGTTTCAAACAGCTTTTTACTACAAAAACTTCGTGGCTTGAAATCCGGAGGATGTCCTTTCACGTTTGGCAAATTAGAGTTTTTCCAACAAAACATTTTTTACTGTAGGAGCTCAGTCTGGGTATGGGTCAAAATCGTTCAAAATGGGAGGGTTTACCCACTTGACCATTTGTGACCCATACTACTGCAAAAAAGGATCAACGTTGGGCACCACAAATTCTACCCATTTGCGGAGTTTTTTTGTTTTGAACATGGGGTATAGCCCAAAATTGCTATTGTAATCTAGGTAAACTGATGGTTAACCATCCAATTTTGGGGCCTTCCCCTAAATTTTCAGACAAACTACTGGTCTTCTGATGGTACCAGTCAGACGCTATTTTTTTAACTGGGTTGAGGAGTAAATTCAATTTCGACACCACAAACAATCCCATTAAATCATTGTATATATATAATATACGTTAGTATATATATATAATATATATATATACATAATATATATAATATATAAATATATCATATGAATCCCCATTAAATACACATCCCACATGAGTCCCATCATACATCCCCTAAACTCTGCAGGTCCTGCGGCCCCGATGGCTTTGTTGATGCCACGGAGGGACAACGCCTGCTGCGCCGCACCGGGCTGCAGGAGCTTTTCAGCTTTGGATTCGGTGGATTGGTCTCAATTTTTAACAGCCAAATGGCTATGGGTCAATACCATATTGACCTATTGAACCATATGAATGTCCATGAAATATCACAGATATATCCAGATATATCCAGATATATGGGTATGGGTCAATACCTATGAAAATACCATTTTTAGGGGGTTATTCACATCCATTTTAACCCAGCTATTTTGATGTGAACAAAAGGGGTACTATTGGTTTTGACACACTGCCATTTAAATTCTATTTAATCTAAAGTGGAACTGTGAATGTCCAGGAAAGGATGATGAAGCCGAGCCTCGCTTTTTTTTAAAAGCCAGATATAGATGATAAATGATGATCAAAGCTGGGAATTTGGGCCTGTGAACGAACATGATATGACATGGGGATTTGAGCATCAATAAAGATGGAACAATGATGAGATGGTCTGTGGATTTGTTGGGCCTGAAAAAATCTTGGGGACCCAAGTGGTTTCCAGCAAACGTGAGAGCAATGAAGTAGGAAGACATGAAGGACAATAATGACCGTATGTGCAAACGGCCAGTGAATTGTTGTTAGCTGAGTGCTTGTCGTGCTGGGTTCACCCCCTTCACAAACCGCTCGCACCGCATGGCGTCACACGTTGGATCATACACCCATATTGGGATATGGTCATCAGTCCACTAATATCCAGTAGACTCAACAGATCTAAAAACACTACAAGGAGGAAAAAATTGAGCCCCCCTTGTATTTGGGGTGTTTGGAGTAAGCGTAGTATCCCACAACGAAGTGCGTCATTGGCCTCCAATTTGGAGACATTCAATGATGGGGCGATGCCGGTGCCTGACTAGCAGTAGTTATTCTCCGAGTTGCGTAGGTCATGCCCCATGCCTGGGGGGGTGCTGAGATCAGGAGAACCAACTTTCCAACATTTGGGACCTCTCTGATCTGGACCGTGACCGACGACTCTCGTGTGTGATCCCAGATTTGGGCAGGTTTTTTGGAGTGGCTCCAAGCGGGAAATGAACATAACGAAGGATGAATGCAGGGGAAAATGACGGACATTTTGGCTTTATTGCAGGCAAACACTGTAGGATTCGGTTTCGTTTTGAATAATTCTTGAATATCTGAATATCTAAGCCTAGAAGTATCCATCTTCAAGAACTTGTTGTGTTTTAATTACCGTAGCCCCTGGAGGTTGCTATGGAAATTCAAACCTGGCGAAACTTCGCTCCAAAAACCTAGGCCCCCCAGTTGCATCGCTTTGGTGCTCTATTTTTGGTGGATCTTGGGTGTCCAACATGTGTTCATGGTTTTTCCCACATACTCTGTTGATCTGTATATATAGCTGAAAAGGTTGGGAAGATCATGATGAGACAGATCCCACGACATTTGGATCTCTATTGATCTCTGTTGCTTCTTTTGGTCAAATATCTGGCATATCTGGCATTCAAACAATCCCTTCTTTTTTGGGTGGAAACATCTTAACCTTGGTCAAAAGAAACAACCCACCGCATGAGTCCCACAGGCTCCGGGAGTTTGTGTGTGCCATGACCTTGGCCGAGCAGGTGCGAAAATTCACACGGAAACCAGTGCAGGTTTTCGGGGAGTGTACTTTTGACAAACCCCAAAACAACCCTAAAAAATCCTAAAAACATGTCTGGGTACAGTAGTATTTGTCAAGAAACATGCCCAGGGTGTATACTGTATAGGGTTTTTCATGATTTTTCCAAACAATACCTGGTTTTCCATGGTTTTTCCATGGTTTTTTCAGGGTTTTTTCCATGGTTTTTCCATGGTTTTTCCATGGTTCTTCCATGGTTTTTCCATGGTTTTTCCATGGTTCTTCCATGGTTTTTCCATGGTTTTCCATGGTTTTTCCATAGTTTTCCATGGTTTTTCCATGGTTTATTTCTACACAGTTTAGAGTTTGGGCGAACGACGCCGCCAGGTCCGACGAGGGCAGTCCCTTCCTGTGGACGTGCGCCCGGAACAGCAGGAGGCCATTTCAGCAGGTGGGAAATGGGATACAATGGACTCAAATGGGAAATTCTATATATACTTATACTGACATATGTAATATATTAGGTAATATACATAACTACCTACCTCCCTCCCTCCCTCCTTGCATACATAAATACATACATAAATACATACATAAATACATACATACATAAAGACATACGTACATACATACATACATACATACACGCATAAATACACACACACACATAAATACATAAATACACACATAAATACACACATCAATACACACATCAATACACACACAAATACATACATAAATACACACATAAATATACACATCAATACACACATCAATACACACACAAATACACACATAAATACACACATAAAAAAATAAAAATAAAATAAATAAATAAACAAATGAATAAATAAATACATCCATACATCCATACATCCATACATCCATACATGAATCCATCCATCCATACATGCATACACACATAAATACATACATAATTACATACATACATACATACATCCATCCATGCATACATGCATACATACATACATACATACATACATACATACATAAATACATACATACACACACATACATACATACATACATACATACATACATACATACATACACACACATATACATACATACATACATACATACATACATACATACATACATACATACATACATACATACATACATACATACATACATACATACATACATACATACATACATACATACATACATACATACATACATACATACATACATACATACATACATGTTACATACATTACATACATTACATACATACATACATACATACATACATACATACATACATACATACATACATACATACATACATACATACATACATACATACATACATACATACATACATACATACATACATACATACATACATACATACATACATACATACATACATACATACATACATACATACTACATACATACATACATACATACATACATACATACATACATACATACATACATACATACATACATACATACACCATACATACATACATACATACATACATACATACATACATACATACATACATACATACATACATACATACATACATACATACATACATACATACATACATACACACACACACATACATACATACACACACAGACATACATACATACATACATACATACATACATAAATTTTTAAGTAATCAGATTGGATTTTGTACTAATACTGCTTTGGTCCCTTCGGTTCATGATCCCAGCGGCCAACCCCCTCTTTCCTAGTGTGATCTCTATTGGGAGAGCTGGGTGGTGAAACGCGATCGTTGAGTTGGCAGGTGTGGAACGCATTCTGCAAAATGCCCGTGCAAAGACGCGGGAGGACCTTTGCAAGATGGCCAGGGAGGGTTCAAAACCGGGGTGGTTAGCAGTTTGGCAAACATGGTGGATATGAAGCTGCAAGAATGGGATACATTCCAGAAATGAAGGTGAAAGATGGGGCATGGGTCCATATGTCAAAAGTCCTGCAAAGACCACACTTTTGGTCATTGTGATCATGATGAGTTGGAACCTATATATTTGAATTTGAAACAATCCAGTTTTGACCTATACTCAATTACGTCTTTCAAAAAAGTGGGAGCCCTTTGTTGGTCATTGGGCCGTTCTCGGAGGAGTTGAGTACCGTTGACACTGGCTTCAAGCTGCCAGGCACTTCCCGTTGCGCGGAAGCCATGTTGAAAGTTGGGGATGTGACCATTTGAAGATGGAGGTGTAACCTGTGACAATAGAATGGGGTGGCAGGATCTATAGCCGTAGCCAAACACTTAGTGAGTTTTCAATAGTAGGATCACGAAACTATAAAAACAGTCATGGCTTATTTAGGAGCATGCTCTGTGATACAAATGATTGCAGCTAGGTCTGAAAGCTCTAAGTAGACCCTAACGTCATCAAATGGTCACATCAGATAAACCACCCCAATGTCATCAAAGTCGTGCATGGATGTGTGTTGGATCCCGTCAATGGCTGCCTCGCAGCTGAAAAAAACGTCCTTGCTCATCACTGAAGCTCACTGAAGCAACGCAGCTTTGGTGGGTTTAGATCGCAGCTTTGGTGATTGCTAAAATTCTGCGTTTGTGAGGAGCAACATGGCCTCATGGCCTGCAATTCAATTGAGACGAGTAAAGGCCTGCTTGTGCTTTCAGAACAGGCCCCGAAATTGACAGCTGGAGCAGGTAGATCTTATGCTGCTGAGACACTTTATCTGAGAAGCTGGCTCACGCTTTCTGCAAACAAGGGAATGTATTTTCGGATTCAGAGGCTAGGTTTGGTTGTGAGACGGCAAACTTGCAAATGCTGGGTGGTATGGCCTGCGAACCAAGCCAGCCAAGTATGGACCGGCCAACCTGTCATTTGTCAAAAGGTCCCAATTTTGACGGGACATGGGTGTTCTGTGGCTTTGCTGGAAATAGGCTGGCACAACAAGGCAGGTGCAGAGGATTGTGGGACGACTATATATGTCATATAGTCGTCCCACATTCATCTGCGGTGTGAAGCTTGGAGTGACCGACGGGTGGAATGGCTCGGCGCTGGAATTCGCCTGTGCCCTCCACTGTGACAAGGATAAGGGCTGAAATTTGCAGAGACCAAAGTAAGACCAAAGTGATAGATTGTGAGGCCTTGAGCCCCAAGCCATATTCAGGTGGCGGTGCTTGGCCGATCAGCTTAGTGAGATAGCATGATCTCGACAGCAGTGGTGTTTAAAAAGTGATTGATTTGTGCCGCCAGAGGAACAATGGGCAGCGATGGGCGGTGTTGGGGCAAAGTGGAAGGGTGATGTCGGCTTTTGCGGCTACCTGGTGCTTCCAGTGCTTTGATTCACATCTTTCAGATTCTTGTAGTCTCTCGATTTTTGTAGCTTCACCTGCCCTTTGGATCCAGTTTCCAGGCCCTGAGCCATTGGCCACGTCCGGCATCCAAAGATCGGAATTGGGCAGGGCGTGGTGGTTGGAAAACCAGTAGACATTCTGGGGAAAGAGCAATTATGCCAGAAGCATCCAATAGCTTCTCGAATCTCTTTGATTCCATCAAACAAATGGTGTTTGCCATTATTCAACAGTGACTCCGATATCAATCCCTATGAACTACTAAGGAACTACTAGTAACCGCTATTATATAAACATCATATGGGTTTGTCTGAAAATAGGGTATATTCCCAATGAAATAGCCATTTAAAAACGGGATAATGATCAGCAAAACCATTGGGTGTAGGGGTTTTCTCTATTTTCAGACAAACCCATATAAACATCATATAACCAGAATTACCGTAGTATTTCCCCTTTCTTGCCCCCAAAAAAACAGCAGATGCCTCAGGTCGCAGCCACGTCCAGGCCGAGCGTTTTCCATGGCTTGTCCGTTGAGGACATGGGCGTCAAAAAAAAATTAGGGCATCACTAAAAACATATTTGGGTATGGATCAATACCTATTAATACCATTTTTTAGTGGGATGAACATCCATAAATCCCAGCTATTTTGGGGTTCACCAGGGGTACCAGGGTTTTGACACCCTGCCCTATTTAAGGGATCAGACATATTCATCTTTCCTGCGCTGGTGCAACGTTTGCCCCTTGTATCCCCTTGTCAAGGCTTGTGGTTTTTGCATCTCCCGGTCTTCTAGTCTTATGGTCCTCTGGTCCCTTGGTCCCTTGGTCGTTTGGTCCCTTGGTCCTTCCGTCCTTTGGTGATTCTGGTGGTTTAAAACAATTTTGAATAAAGCTCAATCAATCTTAATTATTACATAAACCACCCGTAAAAACACACATATATAAATATGCATATAAAAAGGCCAACCCTAAATAACCCCTAGCCCTAAACCCCTTTAAATAAGTCTCAGAAACGAAACCTAAACCGACCCTTAAATGAAACCTGAACCAACCCTAGTTCAACTGTAAATAAAGCCTAAGCTAGCCCTAAACCAACCCTAAGTGAACCCTAAACCGCCCCTAAAGAAACCATAAACCAGCCTCAAATAAGCCTTAGAGAATAAATAAACCAACCACAAATCATCCCTAAATAAATAAATGTTAAGCCAATCCTGAATAAAACCACAAACATCACGAACCAACCCTACATAAATCCAAATAATCCTTCAGCCAAACCTAAAGAAATCGTACACCGACCCTGACTAACACCTAAACATTCCACAAACCAACCCAAAATCTTAAATTTAACTTTAAATAAACTTTTTATAGCACCTACATAAATCCTAAACCATCCCTAGGCAGCTCTACACTAACCCCAACACCAACCCTAAGACCAACACTAAATGAACCCTGGAAACCTTTAAACTTTAAACAAACCACAAACCACGAACCAGCTCAAAAGAAACCAAACACCAACCCTCAATAAGTCTAAAACGAAACCTAAATAAACCTCAAACCAACCCGACAAAAAGTCTTGAACCAACATTAGATACCCGTACCGCAAACAAACATTATTGTAAACTAACGTTAATAAGTCTTGAACGAAACTTAAAGAAACCCTTGGCCAACCCTACATAAATTTTAAGCAACACAAAGTAAACCATAAGCCAACCTTAAACTAACCCTGAACCAACCCTAAATAAACTGAAAACAATGTAATTAGACCCTACAGCTTTAAATAGCACCTAACCAAGCCTGAATCAATTCATATCAACTCTAAACCACCCATCAATAAACTTTAAACCAACCCTAAATAAACTCAACATAAGCTTGAAATAACCCATACTCCGACCCTAAATAACCCCTAAATGAAGCCTAAATAACCCTTCAACCAACTTCAAATAACCCCCAAACCAACCCTCAATAACCCTAAGCCAACTTTAAACAATTTTAAAACCAACCATCGAAAATGAGAGGTTCGAACGTTGAGCTCCAACATGTTCACAAAATGCTCACAAAATGCTTCCAAAACATGCGAATACAAATTTTCCCGGTCCAATGTCCCTACGGGCCAGAGGTTCCAGCAAATACCACAGAAATGTTCGGTTTCGTCTCCAAACTGTTGCAAGGTCCCCAGGGGAAGATTTTTTCCCCCACATCTTTGTGTGGGTTCTTGTCTTTGTTTCTGTATCCCGTCCGCTCCTCCTCCCGTCCTCCTCCGCCTCCTCCGCCACCTCCTCCTCCACATAACTTTGTCACACACAACATTGTCACACACTGCACACACACAAACACACAACATTATCACACACAACTTTGTCACACACCATTGACCTTCGTTCTGCGTGGCAGGCGTGACACTTATGGCACTGGGCTGGGTCTGGCGACATCCACCTTCGTTTCACGTGGCAGGCATGGCACTTGGCGACGTCGACGTTCCATTTGCGTGGCAGGCGTGGCGCTTGGCGACATCAACTTTGGTTTTGCGCGGCAGGCGTGGCGCTTGTGGCACTGAGCTGGGTCTGGTGGCGCGCTTGGGCGCCGTTAGTCGCCCGTGACGCCGCGGCACTTTGCGTGGCAGGCGTGGCGGCGTGGCAGCGTGGCACTTGGCGACATCCACCTTCGTTTCACGTGGCAGGCATGGCACTTGGCGACGTCGACGTTCCATTTGCATGGCAGGCGTGGTGCTTGGCGACATCAACTTTGGTTTTGCGCGGCAGGCGTGGCGCTTCTGGCACTGGGCTGGGTCTGGTGGCGCGCTTGGGCGCCGTTAGTCGCCCGTGACGCCGTGGCACTTTGCGTGGCAGGCGTGGCGGCGTGGCAGCGTGGCACTTGGCGACATCCACCTTCGTTTCACGTGGCAGGCGTGGCACTTGGCGACGTCGACGTTCCATTTGCGTGGCAGGCGTGGCGCTTGGCGACATCAACTTTGGTTTTGCGCGGCAGGCGTGGCGCTTGTGGCACTGGGCTGGGTCTGGTGGCGCGCTTGGGCGCCGTTAGTCGCCCGTGACGCCGCGGCACTTTGCGTGGCAGGCGTGGCGGCGTGGCAGCGTGGCACTTGGCGACATCCACCTTCGTTTCACGTGGCAGGCATGGCACTTGGCGACGTCGACGTTCCATTTGCGTGGCAGGCGTGGCGCTTGGCGACATCAACTTTGGTTTTGCGCGGCAGGCGTGGCGCTTCTGGCACTGGGCTGGGTCTGGTGGCGCGCTTGGGCGCCGTTAGTCGCCCGTGACGCCGCGGCACTTTGCGTGGCAGGCGTGGCGGCGTGGCAGCGTGGCACTTGGCGACATCCACCTTCGTTTCACGTGGCAGGCATGGCGCTTGGCGACGTCGACGTTCCATTTGCGTGGCAGGCGTGGCGCTTGGCGACATCAACTTTGGTTTTGCGCGGCAGGCGCTTGGGCGCCGTTAGTCGCCCGTGACGCCGCGGCACTTTGCGTGGCAGGCGTGGCGGCGTGGCAGCGTGGCACTTGGCGACATCCACCTTCGTTTCACGTGGCAGGCATGGCACTTGGCGACGTCGACGTTCCATTTGCGTGGCAGGCGTGGCGCTTGGCGACATCAACTTTGGTTTTGCGCGGCAGGCGTGGCGCTTGTGGCACTGGGCTGGGTTTGGTGGTGCGCTTGGGCGCCGTTAGTCCGCGGCACTTTGCGTGGCAGGCGTGGCATGCCGCTTCTGGCACTGTGCATGTGTTCGTGTAGCAAGCAGACCGATGTGATGTCGTCTGTCACCTCGTTGTCTGGGGGTGCAGGATGATGCGGTTGTGCGTGCTTGGAGCCAACGCTCAGTTTCCAACCGGGTATGACAGCAAGGGCTATGGGCTAATGCGCCTTGCTGGGCACACACCGAAGCACTGGCCGGTCAGTTCACGTCCTTGCGACTGTCGAACGCCCCGCCCTGCTCTCCACCGTGTCGCTTGGGACTTTGGAGGCCGGCTTTCTCACGCACAACTTTGGCACACGCAACTCTTGCACACACACACAACTCTTTTACGCGCAACTTTCTCACACACACACACAACTCGTTCACACTCATACACAACTATTCCAGAGCTTCCTCACACGCAACTCTTGCACACACAACTGTTTCACCCTCATACATTACACCTTTCAAACACACACCCACAACTCTTCCACATACAACTGTTTTTTAACTTATCGATCCTCCACCACCTCCTTTGTGTTTCCTTCCTCCGTCCCGCTTCAACTTTTGTTTCTAATTTTGGAAGAGGATGACTTGTGGGGTTGTATTTATATACGTATATATATTATATATATATAAACATAAAAATAAATAAAATATAAATAAATAAATATATATATGTATACACGTACATATACATATATATATACTATACGTATATATATATATATATATATACGTATATATATATATACACGTATATATGTATATACGTATATATGTATATATACGTATATATGTAGATATGTAAATGTACATATATTTGATACTCAAAAGAGGGGAGGCCAAGGTTCAAAATAGTGTTTTTCACCACCAGAAAAGAAACACACGTAACGCATTGTAATATGATATGATGATGAGGAGAGTTATTCTTCTCAAAAAAATTGGCAGCCCCTCAAGATCCGCGCCGAACTGTGATGCAGTGGAGGCGTCACATCGGAGACGCCCGGTTCCACGGATCGGGGAATCAGCTGGCTACCCTGTGTCCATCATAGCAATGAAAAATCAATATTTTTGATGGGAAAATCATCCAAAAGAGGCTATACATGGGAGCTTTTCTATTGCCAAATTAGATTTCCACAGGGTCCTGGGTCTTTTCGGCTCCCCCTGTTGCATGGCCGTTATGATTTGCCATGGAAAGTCGCACACAATACACATTGGAATGTATGCGATTCTTTTTTCCACTTGAATAGACACAGATACGATGCTATTTGGAGGCGAAACATGGCCATTTGTAGATGCCCAAAATTGAATCCCAGGTCACTAGTTGACCTCCCCGGCTTCGGCTGTATGGCTTATCCAATTTTATGGCGGGGTAAATTATGCTCGAGCATTGACTTTTTGGACTTGAGGGGTACATATTTTTGGACAGATCCATAATTATCCATATCAATATAATAATATATATATATATAGAGTTTAAATGTAATATACATATGTAAATTATTCTTAAACTCTTGCGAGTAGACCAACCTGCATCATGTTCCAAGAACTTTTGGACACTCCTTTAGACTCGCAGATGATTGTGGTTGTAGTCAAAACCAAGTCAGCCCAGTCTTTGGATTTTATTTTCGATAAGCAAAAACCAGGGTACCAGTATGAAATATGGCGAAGCCACCCTCGAGTGAGTTGAATTGGTCGCCTCGCGCAAGGCCCCTGGGTCAACTGGCGCAAGTCTTAAAGTTGGTGGCCCGTATGGACGGGGCCCTGTGGATCCAACCCATGTCGGATGGTTCCGATATAGATCCTGTAGGCCGCTCCAGCGGTAGATCCTGGTATAATTGGCCGAGACAGCACAGAGATTTTGCAGCTGTCGGATTCCGAGGTTTCAAAACCATCCATCTCTGAGATCCATTTGGGTATTTCCTGAAATAGGCTAGCCCTCATCATCCCTCACAATTGGTCTCCCCACAAAGAAATTCCAGGATCAGAGCGGCGAAGTCCAGCGCCTCAGCAACGAGGTGCTAGAGACCGAGAGGGAAAGGGTCCGCCCTTCACAGCACCGTGCTGGTTGTATCTGTATAGTATGTAATATATATATATAATATATATAATATAAATATATAATATATATATATATATTATAATATATATATAGTACAATATAATATAATATAATATGATATAATATACTATAATATAATATAATATAATATAAAATAATATAAAATAAATATAAATATAAATATAAATATAATATAATATAAATATAATATAAATATAATTATAAAGATAAATATAAATATAAATATAATATAATATAATATAAATATAAATCTAAATCTAAATCAAAATATAAATATAAATATAATATATAATATATAATATAATATATAATATATAATATATAATATAATATATAATATATAATATAATATATAATATATTATATATTATATATTATATATAATATAATATATAATATATAATATATAATATATAATATAATATATAATATATAATTTAATATATAATATATAATATATAATATATAATATATAATGTAATATAATATAATAAAATAAAATAAAATAAAATATAATATAATATAATATAATATAATATATATATGTTCATGTAGATTCTTCAATTGATGATATTCATTGTTGGCATTTTAGGGAAACAAACGTATCCATTCAAACACATACAAGTACGTGGCACGCTCATCAAGTAGATTCGCATTGCATACAGTACCCAACGAGGATATTCCACGGGAACACACGGGTTTTCCCCAAACATGATACGCCTGAATTTCATGGCTATTCTTAACTAGGAAAGATGAATAGCCCAGATCTACGGTGATCTATGTGGCAGGTCTTGGCTGAACGTCGTGAGCTGGAACAGCAGCCTGGGAGCCGTGTGTGGCGACAGGTGGTGCTGTACACATCGAAGCGTTTCTTTTGACACTTGCGGACCCCAATCCCAAACACGCTCATTTGTATATGTTATGTGTAATATTTATCTATCTGTCTATCTGTCTGTTTGTCTATCTGTCTATCTATCTATCTAATCTAATCTAATTTAATCTAATCTTATCTATCTAATCTTATCTAATCTTATCTATCTAATCTTATCTATCTAATCTTATCTATCTAATCTTATCTATCCAATCTTATCTATCTAATCTTATCTATCTAATCTTATCTGTCTAATCTTATCTATCTAATCCTATCTATCTCATCTTATGCATCTTATCTATCTATCTATCTACCTATCTATCTATCTAACTATCTATCTAACTAACTAATCTTATCTATCTAATCTAATCTAATCCAATCTAAACTAAACTAAACTTAATCTAATCTAATCTAATCTAATCTTATCTATCTATCTTATCTATCTTATCTATCTATCTTATCTATCTATCTTATCTATCTATCCTATCTATCTATCTTGTCTATCTATCTTATCTATCCTATCTATCTTATCTATCTAATCTATCTAATCTATCTAATCTATCTAACCTATCTAATCTATCTAATCTATCTAACCTACCTAATCTATCTAACCTATCTAATCTATCTAATCTATCTAATCTATCTAATCTATCTAATCTATCTAATCTATCTAATATTTCAAATCTATCTATCTACCTATCTACCTATCTATCTATCTAGCTATCTATCTATCTACCTATCTATCTATCTATCTATCTATATCTATCTATCTATCTTATCTTATCTTATCCTATCTTATCTTATCTAATCTAATCTAAGCTAAGCTAATCTATCTATCTATCTATCTATCTAATCTATCTAATCTACCTATCTAATCTACCTATCTAATCTACCTAATCTACCTAATCTACCTAATCTACCTAATCTATCTAATCTATCTAATCTATCTAATCTATCTAATCTATCTAGACTATCTATCTATCTAATCTATCTATCTTTCTATCTTTCTATCTTTTTATCTTTCTATCTTTTTATCTTTCTATCTAATCTATCTAATCTATCTAATCTATCTAATCTATCTAATCTATCTATCTATCTAAATCTATCTATCTATATCTATCGATCTATCTATCTATCTATCTATGTATCTATCTATCTATCTATGTATCTATCTATCTATGTATCTATCTATCTATCTACCTATCTATCTATCTATCTATCTATGTATCTATCTCTATCTATCTATCTCTATCCTTTCTATCTATCTATCTATCTATCTATCTTCTATCTATCTATCTATCTATCTATCTCTCTATCTATCTATCATCTATCTATCTAATCTATCTAATCTATCTATCTATCTATCTATCTAATCTATCTATCTAATCTATCTCTATCTATCTTATCTATCTTATCTATCTTATCTATCTTATCTATCTTATCTATCTTATCTATCTATCTATCTATCTATCTATCTATCTATCTATCTAATTAATTATAATATACATGATATGAATACACCGATAATATCTGAGAGTCAATACCATCATCGTTTGGTCTCCCAGGCTGGCACAGCGCCGAGCGCTGGAAGATCAACTCCGGGAGGCACGTGGACGCCTCGACGAGGCGCCACGGATTTTTTTTTCAATGGGGCCTTTATTAAAGAGTGGTTTAAATGGTTTAAATGGGTTTTCAATGGTTTTCAATGGTTTTTATGGCTGGTGATAAATATGGTTTCCCTGGTATTTTTTTTTGGGAAACCCCGAAATTGATGGCTGGTCAAGAGATGGGAATATTTTGGATGCGATTTCATTGGGGTTTAAGCATCAGCAGCATCAGTATGAGGGTTTGGGGTTTTAACTATCAAATATTTTGGAACTTGACAAACGACGCTTGGTGATGAAGACAACATGAGAATCTACGGTGGAAGTCCAGTTCACAACGTGTTCACGTGACGTGTGTTTTTTGGGGGTGTCATGAGTTGGATCCCACCTTCTGAATGACACCTTTGTTTTGGGCCAACCAAGACCCATTAACCCATTAAATACATTTAAAATCATTTGAATACTTGATTGGGATATTGAAAATTATTGAAATATATCAATCAATCCCAATGATAGAATATGTCATTTTTTTTACACTTTGGGATGATCCCCATGACGAGTTCTCGCGCGCCGCGCTTTGCGCTTCAGCGCTTCAGGCCTCCGCCAAGCGGCGCGACAGCGCCATCGAGTCGGCGGCGGCGCAGAAGCGGATTGCGCAGATGCAGGAGGGTGGGCCGCTGGCGCCGCTGGGCCCATTGGATTTGGGAAATCTACGGAATCCAATGGATGAACTGCCGATTTGTGGATTCTGCAGATTCCCAGATGGGATTTTGAATGGGAAATCAGGCTAGCCGGCTATGGGGAAGTGTTTCCTGTAGATTTTCCCATGAACCAGGGAGAGATAGGACCCGGGAGAAATAAATCTCGGGATTTCAGCAGATGTCAGACATTTCAGCAGATTTTTCTGTGAATTTTTATGATTGAACCAGTAAGAAGAGGGGTAAATCCCTCCGTGATTTGCCGAAAAGACGATCGAACGAGCTGTGGGATTGAAACAGCTATGGAGCTATAGAGCTGTGGGATGTGATCAGCAGATGCCAATTGGCCTCTTTGGACTCCAATTTGATGTGCCCCAATGCATATGTTATCCGCCATACTATTTGATGCATGTACAATCATGTACGCGCGCACACACACAATATATATATATACATATCTATATATACATATACATATATATATATATATGTATATGTATATGTATATATATACATATATATATGTATATATATAGATATGTATATATATATAGATGTATATATATATATATGTATATATATATGTAGTCCTCATACGGCATGCAGTTATATTATTTACATGTGCATACATTTAATGAGGGACAAGAGTCACCCAAGATGGCTCTTCCTCTGCGACAACTTGCCATACCAGGACGAGTTGGTTTTCGTGACCAGAGAGGTGAATGGAGTTGAAGAGGACGTGGGGAATGTGGGGGTTCAGCCCGGACCCTCCAGAAAAGATAAGCCTTTAAGCACTAGTCCCACTATCATCCACTATTTGGAATAAACTTGATGGTGTATAAGTGTATAATCCACTATCTGGAATATTGTCCTCCATTTTCATCCACTATCCATTCTCAGGCAAAAACGGGACTGGCAACTTGGAGATGTTCCTTTGCCATGGATTCTGTATCAGAGGATATTTGCTGACTCACAAGTGAGGCATCAAACCCAATGCTTTTTGGGGGATGGCCTCTAGACTCAACCACAGTCAAAAACCCTTCAATGGTAGCCCTCAAGTTAGAATATGAACGATTGGGAAATACGATGAAATACGACGAAATATCTGAGCTTAGCCCAGTGATGAAGGCTTTTTTGGGAGTATTTCAATGTACTTCAGGGATCTTCAGGGATAATCCCAATAGGCAAGAGGTGGTGAGGATCCAACAAGAGCAGTATCAGATGTATCAGTTTTTGAGCCACCAACTGATGGAAGATGATTTTTCTGAGGGAAAAAACCTTGGGAGTTCCAGCAATATTTCAGAGGGCGCTCTCGACTGTGACGAGGATTTGAAAGCCTTGCGGCAAGCTTGCGGTCAAGAGAAGGTTGGGACTCCCAGGGTCCTTGCGCTGATTTTTGGTAGTCCGGTGGAATCAGTTGAGCTATGAAAAGTCATCATAGCCGTAGCCATTAGTGCACCTCAGCTCAGCACAATCATGTTGTCCATGGCCACTCCGACTGAGGAGGAGATGGAAACATCAGAAATTCTACCGTCCCGTGGAAGCGAAGGAAAGGTTTCTCATTGGCTGTCTCGTGTGAGGGCCTCCTTCATTGTGCCAGCTGTTGGTCTCATGGTTCTGGGTGTGTTTGCATTGGGTGCGATGCGTCAGAGTTTGGCTTCTCCGACTGCTGGGGACCAGTCTGAAATTCTCCAGCAGGAGTTTAAGATCCCAGAGCTTCCAGCGAATCCTATTGATGAGTTGAAGGCTGAAATCAAAAAGCCAGTGACAGTCTTCAAGAGTAAGTGGGGCATCAATGACCTGAGGCCGAATCAGATTACGCTTTGCGTCACCAATCTCAACATTGGACTCTGGAAGATTGTTCAGCTGGGAGCCGTCATCACCAAGACGGTAGCCAGTTGCCCAGCTGGATTCAACAGTATCGACAAGAAAATTGCATGCAATATCAATCTTGCTACGATCGTATCTACTCTTGCTTGTGCGATGGCCTTCTTCACCAGCACCTCCATCGTATGCACAGGCAAAACAAACCCAGATGCACGCTGCACAATATTTCTGGCACTGACCTTCAGGAATTTGGCGCTCTTTCCTGCAGCTGAGAATCAGATTTCACTTTTTTGCCCTAAGGCCTCATTGGAACAAACTGTCATACAAGGTGGCGTCAGAACCTTTGATGCTGGACAACGTCGGCTTTTGAATTCCTCCTTTGACAGCTTTTCTGACAGGGAACTCTCCGAACCTATGCCTCCGATCGAACAAGTGTTTTGCGCATGGAATGTTGCTCAGAGCTTCTGGTTCTTTGCTCGTATTCCCCCATTGGCCGACATTGCACGCCGACGTTGCCCGGCAAAGAGGGGCCAAGAAGCTGCTTGTTCAGAGGTGATCAACAACATCCTCACCATGACTTTCAACGGAGCCAAATTTATCGCTGCAGCCACAACTAATTGTGTCAACGGCATGAACGTGGCTGCTGGATGTTCTGCTGGCAGTCTCAATTTCATGTCAGGAATCACAGGGATAAGCTGGGTGGCCTCGGCCTTTGCAAATGGCGCATGCACAGATTTGCGTGCAAAGAGGAAGGCTGCGACAGAGGTGCGCATCAATCGCCAGATTCACAAGATTAACGCCATCAAAAGCAACACGCTGCGGCGATTGCTACGGGAGAAGAAACTCACAGGCCCCGCCATCGCGGAAGCTCACCAGATGATTGCCCAAGAAGAGGCCGACACGCGCAACAATGCCACCACGGAAGAACTTGTCCGCCATCTTATGCAACAGATGCCACAAGAAACCCATGAAGGTCAAGAAGGTCATGAACTTGATCCTTATGAACTTTTGTTGTCACACCTCCAGGGCTTGAAGTCACCCACCGAGGCAGAGTGGCAACAGATGATGGCAAAGGTGCGCATGATGCATGACAAGTACGCCTCCAGCCCTGTCCTTGCATAGATTGAGCTTCATCCTTTGTAACTCATGTGAAGCATCGAATTCAGCTTTTCTTGAACACCTGGACATCGAATTCAGCTTTTCTTGAACACCTGGACATCGAATTCAGCTTTTCTTGAACACCTGGACACCTGTGCCAGCTCTCCAAAATGAGGTAGACTGGTAGACTTCAAGTGTACAGCAGCCCTTGCATTGAATGGAGGGCATGGAGTGCAGGGTCCCAATGACTGCAAGGTAAACCGCTGCCAAGAAAGTCACTTTGAATAAGCAAGATTAAAAAAGCAGCAAAAAATGCAAATTTACAAGGCTGTGATCGAATCAAAGCTCCTCTACAGTCTGGGCTCTCTGGTTTTGACGAAACAAGAAAAACGTCGCATAGACGGTTTCCAGAACAGATGTCTGCGTTCTATTTTGGGAATACATACTTCTTATCCAGAACATCAAACGCTGAAGTCTTGCAACGTAGTGGACATGTTTCAGTATCCAAACTTCTTGAACGAAAGCCGCTGTTGCTCTTGGGAAAGATTTTGCGTCACCCGAACCACCCTCTGAGACAAGCGTCGTTTGCGCCTGGTACGTACACTGCTACATCTCGATATCTGAGGGTAGGTCGGCCTCGTAAAGAGTGGATGAAGTTTTTTCAGCACTTTCTTTTACAGGTAGTATGCACAATTTGCTGTATTCTGTCATGAAATGCAGTGGCACCAGCTGGTTTTGAGCCAATGAATCGATCGGGGTCCAGGAGCTGCGGAAAAGTCCGGCACCCTATAACGATCCCGACGAGGAGCGCCGTGATGTGCTCTCGAAGGCGGGGGGCTGATGGATTCGATGTGTGCAGGGAGCCACCATTTCTGTTAACGAACAAATGGGAGGATGCCAGGGTTTGATTGTGACTGTTTATGAGTAGATCTATAATACAATAATACTTGCGTAAGTTCAGTTTGTTGATGTTTTCAAAGTGGGATCCGAAATAATGGAATATTTCCGATAAACATCAACCATTTTGCGGATAAATGATCCCGTTTGTAGGCGATGCAAGGTTTCATTTTTGGTAAACCTTAGCTGAGTTAACGGGAGGACACGTAACACATCGTAACACCAAAAACTAAAACGATTGTTCTTTTTTTGGGGTCAAAATTGGACATGAACTGGGTTTCAAGTCCATCTTGATGAGGTGCGGGCTGAGCGTGATTTGCTGCTGAAGGATCAAAGGGCCATTGAGGAGCTTTGGAATGGTACTGCAAGGTAAAGGGACCCCCAAAAATGGACAAGTACAAACAAGAACACCACGAAAAAAGGCGGGGAATTGCCTACGAGAAGAACTCTTCCATCTTTTTAGGACCCCTTCTTTTTTTCCGCTCACCAAAATGGGATGTCGCCAAGGGAGCAACTTAAGAGCCAGCTCAGTGGCTTTTCGCCAGGAGTTAAGGGAAAAACTGGATGAGCCAGAGATCCTCAGGGGACTGGTTGGATACCTCTGGTTGCTTCAAGCATGGCTCGAAAGTCAACATGTTAAATGGGAAATTCATCTGTACAATTTTGGAAAAGGCGATATCTGAGGGTTTTACACTAGCACTAGCAGGTGAGATTACCCAGCAAAACTGTTTGGACTCAGAGAACTGAAAATCATTGGATTGGACATTTAATCCTGCTTGATTTGCTTTGGCGGTTCACTTTTGAAAGCGCATCTCGTCTTCGCCGGCCAATTCGTGAGAGGCTTTGCTTGGACTTTTCGACTGAATGAATCACTTCACAATTTTCCGTTTTAGCATTGGGCTGAGCCACTTGTCCCCATCTTCCACGCACATTTCTGGGCTGATTGAGGATCTTTCGACAGAAGCATGAAGCCCAAAGCAGGCAACAGGCGGACCTGCGCCACGGGGCTGGCTCTGCCCTAGGGTTGGATAGCAGGATGTACCCTCCCGTACCATAAGAAAACCAAGGAACAGTCCTAAATACTTCGAGTCCGGACGATTTTTTCCCCTCAACTTGGCTTTTCCAGGACCGCCAGCCAGGCTCTGTTGGAGAAGCAACGGCAATGCGAACAGGATCGCAGCTTGATGCTGACAGCCATTGAGGTGCCCGGTTTCTCCATGTTTCTCCGGAGTGGGATCCAGAAACTCCAACATCCATGAACTCGGGAGCATCATCAAAGACTCATCAAAGACTCACAGTATTTTTTAAGGTGATGTCCAACATCAGCAGATCACCAATGTGACCAATGTGACACTTGGTGATAGATTCCAGTCGAGTTTCTGGAGGTTAACCTCCACCAACCCCACGAGGCGGAGCGAGCCAAGTTAATGTCTGCACGAGCTGACCGCCTGAGGCGTTGGTGGTGGGGTCCTGAAACACATCTTGAGACCGGGGAAGCTTCCTGAGTTTTTGTTGGTCAACCTTATCTTATCCATAGTGACATTTTATTGGATTTTACCTCAAGTCGTCCTATTGAAATATCCATTTACTACTGGAATGTAATTGGTTGATGTATGCGAACGGGTCAAAACCTGGCCCAGTTTAAGCCGAGAGGCTGTGGAAGGAGCGTTCTGAGCTGGAAAAGCAACTTCAGGACCGGAGAGGGTCTGACTCGATGATCTCCCAAGCTGGTTGCAACCTGGGAACGAGTGCATCCAACTGCCGGTCAACTGAGAGAAACTGATCTGGGTATGGGTCAATACCTATTAATACCATTTTTAGGGGAATGACCATCCATTTACCAGCTATTTTGATGTTCACCAGGGGGATAGGGTTTTGACTCACAGCCATCTGATGAGCGTAAGTACAGCATATGCGTAGCAAATTTGATTTCAGGACTTCTTTTGCACAGGCTCTAGGGCTCTAGTGAGATCCAGATGAACCTGTGTCCAAGACCTCGAAAGGACGTTGACCAACAGCAGCTGCTGATGAGTCGTCAGGCTGGACCTGGTTGGACCTGGTATGGAAGGATCCCTCCACGAGGGAAAAACCAAGCAACAAATTGGACACAGGATATTATAGAACTGTAAAGCCAATCCACAACTTGAGACATAGTTTGATGCAATAGATAAATAACTAAATAACTATAAACATACTATAAATATACATATATTACATTAGATATATGATATGATATATTATGACATGTATATTAGCCCCCAGGTATCCGATCACCAACCGGTCACCTCTCTCAGGTGCCAGGTCGCAGCGTGCCAGAGGCCAATCGACCGGCCGAGAAGCAGCAGTGCCTTGGTTTCAAACATGGTGATTGAATGGGGTACTGTATAATATGAAGATACAATGGGATATAAATGGATATAAATGATGGTTTAGTATTTATACTTTTATAGTTTATAACTCACCAAGTAAACAAGAATTCCCTTACCCCAAAATATGTTTTGCAATGTGTGGGATGAAGCCACATATATATATATATACATACTGTGTATATATATATATACATATACACATACACATACACATACATAGGATGATAGAACGGGGGGTGTTTCATATTGACGGAGGATGGGATTATTGTCAGGTCTTATCAGATCTTGTTTGGGGTTTATCGATGCTTGTGATTTAGGGATGTTAAGGGCCCAGAGTTGGGTCCAGAAATATTCCCAACAGCGAATCTGTTGGGTTTCAATCTCTGGGACCGGGGACTGGTGACACGAAAATGCACGTCCCGGAAAACCGGAACAGTCAGGGAACCTTGCTGGAACCTTTCGCTGTTGGGTTGCAAAGCTGGGCTAATTGAACACATGCTGAAACGGTGATGTTGGACCAGCGCTTTGAGTGTGTGTCAAAGGGGCGCTTGATTGGTAAGCCAAGGTCTCGTAGCAAGGGCGTACCGCACGAGACGGTGTGGGAAACCTCGGACAGAAAGGGCGTCAACCACCGCTTTCGACATACCAAAGGGGCAGTAGATGGTTTGGAACCTGCACTGCTGTACATGAATATTGCTCCAGATCGGAGGGGCGCTGTCATTATCACGAGGAAACAGTAAAACGTGTTACTTTTGTGACCATTTCGAAACGGGATACTCCACAGTGAAGGACTTCAAGTGTGATTTGCACCAGTATCGAGAAAACCGACATTTCAGGGTTTATGATAGTACCTTTATATACCTTTATTAATTTCTCAATTCGTTTTTTGCTTCATGGGAACTTGATCTGTGAATCGGGAATGAACAGCGTGACGCTGAGGCCAGCAGTAATCCATGGTGCTCCAGTTGGGGCACTCAGTGGGGTTTGGAGATCCTGAGGGCAGTGCATCTTTTCCAGTGAACAGATCCCCAAACCCCGGTGATAAATCGGATCATTGTTGATGTGGAGCCATAGCAATGAATCTTGGTTCATTTGCTGTGGCTGACATATCCAGTATATATATATCTGGAATCCCATTGATGATGGTTGGACCATGCTCCATTCATCCCATGTAAACCATGGCGCATCATTGAGGCAACAGGCCCCTGGAGCACGCCAAAGCACTGGTATGTTTGGGGGACCCAGAGACCCTGGAGACTGAGCCACGAATTTGGCCACCAATTCTTTGGCTCAAAGGTTACATAATGACTCCAAGGCAATCCGCCAAATGAATCAAATCGATGGTTCGCAACTTATTCCTTGGAAGGGTACTTGTACTGCTCATGTAAGGGTCTGCCGGAAACATTATGCTGAAACCGGCGCCCTGAAACCGGCCTTTGGATCCATCCGATTTTCAGGTTCCACATAAAGAGGAGGCGGGCTTTGGGAGACGAAGAATCATCAAGAGGATGCATTTTCGATCATTTTCTCTACTCTTTAGAAAGGAAGTAAGTCCTTTTTCAACGCGTAAAAAACCATTGAAACGTCATGAAACATCATGAAACGTCATGAAACATCATGAAACGTCATGAAACATCATGAAACATCATGAAACAGCATGAAACAGCATGAAACATGAATATCTCGATATATCTCGCATTTTTTCCACTGGTTCAGGGTCTCCATGGTCTCCAGGGTCTCCAAGCACCTCCAGGTGGGGAAAATATGGGATCTATGGAGTTGATGTCATCGATGGAAAAGTAGATCAGTAATTTGATGATGGTTTACTTAGTTTACTTTTATCATTTCAGATATTGATGATATTTTTCCATCATCAAATTATTTATGACAAAATGATGACATGGGATGACAATTTTTTAATCATTTCAGAGGACTTGTCTATGGCTAAATCCAAGAGTAGGGGATGAAATCATCAGGGTTGACTAGTTTTTGGTGTACAACTCTGACTTGCCAATTTTCCAGGATGCATTTCAAACAGGGGAGCCGACTGCCAATTTTGCTAGTCAAATCCAAACTTTGATGGTTAACCACCCAAATTTAGGAATGTTGGGCCCACATTGAGGGGAGAGGATTGATATTAAACCACCAGCCACCAGCCACTGAGACTTTCCGGGACAGGTGAGCGACGCCGGGACCACCGGGGAATCCGGGCGGATCGCTGAGGTGTGAGCTGAGGCAAAATGTTGGTCACTGCACACGGTTGAACGGAAAATAAAGCGGTTTGCGCTTGCGGGATGGGGTTTTGCGACCTGCCAAGCAACTGATGTCCTGAAAATATCTGAAAATCAGACCTGAAGTGGCTTTGGAAGATGCTTTTTCACCATGGCCAGTCTTGGGTTTAGTTTTTATTTTTGGTGAGTTTGTGGCGAATCTTCAGACGACAGGAGGCAAGATCCCATGGAACGCACCATCCTGTGGAAAACTGCAAGACCTCACTGCAGCTCGTTTTTGCTGCACGGGGCAGTTCCGCCGCGCCCGTGTAACGCCGAATTACTTTTGCTGCCGTAGCACTGCAGATAGGCGCGCTCTACTGCGCTGCAGTTTTCTACGCACAGCTCCACGAATTGTGAAAGGTTCAGCTGTTGATGCTGGTTGTTGATATGGGTATGTCCAAGAACGCGAGATACCCCAAATCCCATCAAATCCCAAATTATGATAAATTGTGGCCATTCGGGGAACATCATGATCTCTCTTGCATTTGGGGTTCCCGGGGTCCCTAGTTTTTGGGACAAACCCATATCTGGCAAACCGCAGGCACGATGTCATATATGGTCCGGAGCTTGATGGCTGGCTGGCAGATGATCAGTGATGCTCTGATGGTACCCTTGGGTAATGACTAGCATAGCTATAGAAAATGGCCATAGAAATAGTTGATTTACCTATCAAAAATGGGGATTTTCCAGTTCGCTATGTTTAGTTTTCTGGAGGGCAACTTTTTTTTTGGATTGCTGGGATTGCTGGGTAATTTTCTGAGGCGGGATCTTCGCCATGTGGAGTCTTGAATGTCGGGGATGCCAGATCCTGCTTCCTAGCCATGGGCATATCTACACGGAAAACGAAACATGATAGTCTCATGGTATTGGTCATGGGTATGGGTCAAAATTCAAGACCTCAAACCTACAGGTTTCAAGCACATGTTTAGTAGTTATTAATAATCTTAGACCGAATTTCATCCTATCTAGATTCGCATACAGATCTTACGCCCACACAGGCTTTTCCGCCGCTGGACGGCAAAATCACTGCAGGCACAGGCCCCTGCAACATTCTATGTTGCGGCTGCAGCGCCAATGAATGCGGTGCATGGGAGTCAAATGATGTGTCTCGGAACGCAGATGGGAAACAAATTGCAATGGATCATTTCCATATTTACTCTGAGTGTATCCATTCAATGGCCATTTCGGGGGCGGCATTTTCTGCATTTTTCTGCGTCGAAGACTCGAATGGTCATGGCGGTTTTCCAATTTTTCTATCTAGGGGGGAACAAGCGGTTAGAAAAAATTTTCGGCGTCCCTTGACCACGTAACTTTCTCACCCCTGAAGAAACGTCCTGAGTTGACAGAGCCAGGGCAGGGCACTTTTGATGGACAATCCTCCATTTATTTCGATTTTCTCATTTGGGCAGGCCTATTCAATTCAGGGATTTCTCAGCTTACGGTTGGTATATCCCCATTACAGGAATCCATGGAAAACTCCATGTAAAATCCATGAATATCCCAATCCCATTGAATCCGAATCAATAAATCCCCTGGATTTCCCACTCATCTTCCAGTAAATCCCACTATAACTCAGCTCATGATTAACTGCCATTACCCTCTGGTAATTTGTTACATAGCTATTGAAAATGACCATTTATAGTGGATTTTCCCATTGACAATGGTGATTTTCTATAGAAAAATGTTAGTTTACCAGGCCGGGTAAATCCCATCAACTGCCATTGACTCTCATCAATTTCCAATCTCCGATGATCTCCGATGATCTCCGATGATCTCCGATGTGTCCAGGTATCCTCAGCCCATGGGTTTTATGGCCATGGTGGCTCCGCCTCTGCCGGAAGGCATCATGGCCCAGCCATGTGGTCACTCGACACAAGAACTGGTGAAGGGTTTTCAGCTGAGAGTGATATCTAGATGATATATGATATGTATACATATATATATCATATATACATGTTATATGATATATAATATATATATATATGATATTAATATAGAATATAAGAGTATGTATAATATGTGTAATGGTTACATATAATCTAGAATGATTACCCTCTGGTAATCAAGCGTAGCTATAAAATTATTGGTCCACTTGCAGATGATCTACTGATTTACCTCATATATATATATACATATACTTATATAATGATATTTTTGTTATATAATCACATGTATATATACCTACATGTAATATATAAGATGATTTTTCGCCAGATAGGTCAATATCATACGATACATGATGAAATAAGATAATCTCCATTGGCCAACAGCTGATCTTTCTGGGGGTTCCTCTTTTCGGGCTTCATGGTATATTCTACTTGTCTGGTTAGGTAGGGATGATCACAACATGGAAATCCAGGTTCCCATCAGTCGGCTGTGCCGAGGTTCCATCCCTGCAGCAAAGGCAAAAGCCAAAGCTGTTCCTAAAAAGAGGCTGGGATGGGTCTGTGAAGCCACCATTAGCATTGAGCCCGCATATTTCCTTGAACCATATGGTGGTGTCTCAAAATTGGGGGACCACCAAAACCAAAACTACCAATCACTCATGTTTGGAAAGGAATCTTATGGCTAAAATTGGCCACCAATTTTGAGAAACACCATATATCTCTTGTATTAAACCACTTTCCAGAGATGTGGTATTGGAAAATATGGAAAAACAGAAAGGTATCTTGGAAAGTTTATATATATATATATATATCCCTCTGGTAAACATACAACAAACTATGGAAAATCATGGAACATCACCATTTTTAATGAGTAAATCAACCATAAATGGGCCATTTTCGCTATGGTCTTCCACCAGGATCCGAGATGAGCCACAGAGCCGGCGTTCCAAGGAGGATGCTGAGGATGAGGTGTGCTGGGAGGATGGGTAGATCGGTTTTTTGATGGAGGTGTTAGGGGAATATCATGGGGATGTACTACTGTTGATCCACCGTAGGGATATGTACTGTATGTATATTTAATACAATATCTATATATAGGATAAATTACGATTCAGAAACTTTCCCCGATTCAGCAACTCCGATTCAGAAACTCTGATTCAGAAACCCCAAGGATTCAAGAAACTCCTGGTTGCCACGATTCAGAAACTCCAGTACTGTATATATATATATATGTAATGTATATATGTATATATATAATGTATAAATATATGGATTAAAAATGTATAATATGTATATGTATATAATATGAATAACACACACATATATATATATAATATACTGTGTATACATATATATATATATATACATATATATACATATATATATATTTATATTTGGGAAATCCCCGTCAATGGTAATTTCTGCAGCCAGCCATTTTTGAATTGCCGGAGGGCACCCCCAAAGTAATGGGACAGTGGGACTATGGAATGACCTGGGGATATATACACTGGGAAGATAGAGAACTCCGAAGGGATGTAACTATGGACCACAAGTACAACCAAGTATAAACATCCATAATGGGTACTGTATATTAAAGATGTGATTGGATATAACTTGGCAACCATAGATGTTTTTTGGATGTGTTTGAGAATAGGTTGCATACCCCCAAGTTATGGCCATTTACTACTGAAAATGATAATAAACCAGTGGAGAAAGAATTTCAGACAAACTCATATGACATGGGGTTCTTGTAGCCCAAGTTACTAGTATGGCCATTTAATGTAGGGAAAACATGGGAACATTTTGGTCAACCAGTGATTGGGGGAAAAGGTCAAGACATGGCTTCTATATCCATAGTAGGGGATGATCATACCACCATTCATAAACGGGGGGAGAGGAATATACTCTGTATTTTCTTAGTCCCCACCCCCCTTTGACCATTTTTGGACCAATAAGTGCACCAGCTGGCTGATGTGTTTTAGATGGCAAGTTTCGCCAACCGCTCAAGCAAATCACAAGGTCGCCCCGCAGGATCAGCCCCAACGGTTGGTTTGGCTGATGGGTACCCTTCTGAATTTTACTCGCAAAGCGTGGGGGTCAGCAAGCTGTTGAGCACTTGGGCTGATCCGTTGTTGCCATTTATTGCCTAGGACCCGACTGACGACGGAGATTTCTGATGGTCATATTGCAATAATTTGAAATACATGGGGCGACTGCATACTATCAGTACGTGTATTTTTGAAAACGTGAGACAATTGACCAGGTCATTTTTCAAAACCTCCAATTTTCCTGTTTTGGTTGGCCGTGCTTGGGCAGAACCCAACACATGTGGAGGTCTCCGGTCGAGGCGTAATCTCCTTGCTTCAGGACTTGTAAGGGTTGGAGGGTGGTGGATATGGATCGTCAAAACATATGAACAGACTGAACAGACAAAATCAAGTGGTCTGGCCATTTCAAATGAGAGTTTAGCTACCAAACGGGAGTTCATTTGACGAACAGTAGGATTCAACCATCAAAATTTGGGTGTGTAATCATGGAGAAATGGAATTTGAACATCGAACGGTTTGACCAATCAAAGTGGGAATGCCAACCGTAAAAACGTGGTGCTTTGACCAGTAAACATTGGATTCTACCAAACAACCGGCTTAAAACATGGTTGATTTTTCATGATTTTGAACATTGGGGGTGATATTTTCAACATTTTTCAATGCGTTTTCGTCAATATCTTTTCCATGGATCTGAAAACAGGGTACCTCTGGTTGATCATCAAAATCATCCCTTTACGTGGCAAGTTGGGGTCATGATCCCTGATTGCCAGACCCCAAACATGTATTGTTCGTTTCACCACCGCCCCATTTTATCACCCCCATTTTTTGATGGTTAAACCATGTTAAACCGTTGGAAAAATGCCCATCTTGGAGACATATTTAAGGGTCTTGTACCGCTGGTACCGCTCGAGGGACATTCCCGGACTCCGGACTCGGACGCCTTTTCGCAGGAGTTCGTACAATGTTCCAAGAACTTTCCGACACCTCAACACCGGCCCATCCTCCAGTCTCTCGGCGCAATTATGTGACGAACAGAAGGAGGTTTTGGACGGTGTCGGAATGGGTTGGAATCATAACATGAACTGGGCAAGCCGGGCAAGCCGGGGCGGAAATTTCCACGAACGGCCGGTGCAAAACGAAAAAATATGTGTCCGTAGTTTGCCAGACCGCCTGCGTGTGAAAGAAACAATTTCTTGACATCTCTGTCGCATGACTTCCCTTTCTGTTGAAATCTCTTGCTCTTTGACATTGCTTTCTTCGTCAGATCTTTCTCATCTGCGCTCTTTCTCGTGACATCTCTTTCTCTTGTTTTTTTTGGCATCTCGTTCAGTTGACATCTGGTTCTTTTGACATCTCCTTCTCATGTCAGCTCTTCCTCATGTTTTCTCTTTTCTTGGCATCTGTTTTTCTTGACATCTCTTTTGTCAGCTTTTGTGCTTGACACCTCTTTCGGCACGTTTTGTATTGCAAAACTCGCGATTTCGTTCATCTGCTATCTTAAAAAAGACGCATTCCGTGCGAAACTTTCTCAAACTTGAAGTTGCGGAAACGAAACATTGGTGCGATACTTACTCCAAAAATTGCAAGCACGGAAGTCTCTTGTCTAAACTTCGATTCTATTGATTATATAGCAGCATCTTTGGACCTTTTTTTGACACTGACGTGGAAGGGACCTTTGTGATGACCGTTGATGTTTGAAGTTGATTAGCAACTGGCACCTGGTGCAATTTTCCATCCCATGATTTCCACCGTCATTTTCCGTCCGCCGTAAGAATGAGGTGGACGTTTGATACCCACATGGCTGACAACACCAATTTGGAATTTCGAGCGCAGGCGGGGCAATTTTTTTTCAGGGCCTTTTTTGCGGCTTGTCAATGGGAAATCATGGGAAATCCAAAAGTCCATGGGCCAATTTTCAACCCAAATCATCAAAGGAGAAAATGCCAAACATAGGGTTTGACAGGGTCTTTGCGCTGCGTCCTCCGTCGCTGTGTATGGGTCCAGTACCACCAATCGGATGATAAAATCATGTAGGAACGCTGTAAAATGGTACTTTAAATAGATCAAAGCATGATATAGAATCATATTTTATACCGTAACACAAAATAATATAATGTTTTCAGTAATATGACATGCTAAGACATGCTTTTTCACATGATTCAAAAAGCAGAACACTATTTTAAGAATAAGACATGGTCACCAGGGTCCAACATGGATCCCAGGGTCCGATGAGTCCGGGGCACCATCCAACAGCGAAACGAAGAGTTTCGTAACTCGCCTGAAACGACCATGGTTTCTGCAGGTTGCGATCATACAGTGCTGCTCCGAAGTGATGGCTGTGCTATTGCTTGTGGAGGCAATAAATACGGAGAATGCGACATTCCGCCATTGGAGGAGGGTGTGACTTACACCCAGGTTTCTGCAGGATTTGTTCACACCGTGCTCCTCAAGAGTGATGGTGCTGTTGTTGCCTTTGGATCCAATAAATTTGGACAGTGCGACATTCCACCTTTGGATGCGGATGTGGTTTACACACAGGTCTGTGCAGGTGACAAACACACAATGCTTCTCCGAAGTGATGGCATTGTTGTTGCGTGTGGATCCAATGAACGCGGGCAGTGTGACATTCCATCACTAAACTGGGGCGTGAAGTACACCCAAGTTTCTGGACGATCTCATACTGTGCTTCTTCGAAGTGATGGCGGTGCTGTTGCTTGTGGAAAGAATCTTTGCGGAGAATGCAGCATTCCACCTTTGGATGAGGGTCTGACATACACACAGGTTTCTGCAGGTGCACGACATACGATGCTTCTCCGAAGTGATGGTACTGTCGCTTTTTGCGGGGCTCGTGGAATAGGAGAGTGCGACATTCCACCATTGGATGAGGGTCTGACATACACTCAGATTTCTGCAGGCCATTCTTACACTGTGCTTCTCCGGAGCGATGGTCGTGCTTTTGCTTGTGGACACAATGTTAGCAGGCGATGCGAGCTTCCGCCATTGGAGGAGGGTATGAGATACACCCAGGTTTCTGCAGGTGGTAATCATACAGTGCTTCTCCGAAGTGATGGTCGCGCTGTTGCGTGTGGAGACCGACGCAATGGACAGTGCACTATTCCGCCTTTGACATCATGGTTTGACTGGTTGTGGTTTCCTGCCTCACCGAAGCTTCGTTACATTTCTGATGTGGCTGAGAGAAAGTCAGACGTTGTTTTGCAAGTTCATTTTCTTCAGGAATGCGATGCTATAATTCTGATATGTTTGGGTTTAAATGGGCAAGAAGTGACGCGTTTGATGAAACGCCGGTGTGACCTTGCCTTGGAAGCGTGTAGCCAACTTGCACTTCAGTTGAACACTGACAGGAAGCAGCTTCGTGTGGTCTTGCCCGATGGGCAGTTGTTGGACACAGTTTGCACTGCCAATCCGTCAGTCACACTTGCTGCTGTGTGCTTGCAGCATGACAAGGCATAAAATAGGTATTGTCATACGCAGTTCGATGTCGATGCAATGAGTCAAATCTATTTGAATGGTATATAATCAATCGGTATATAGTCTTCTGGAAAAATGGAGCCCCGTTGTAAGATCAGGAAGCTGACAAACCGGAAGGCACCACAAATCACCAAAGTAGAAAATCAAAACCTCAGGAGTATACCCATGGCTTCTCCAACCGAGAGCCACTAGTGTGCGGAGCGCTTGTGCTCCGACTTGGGTGTGAATCAAGGATGGGCTGCCTATGGACCGACGATGCTCCGAAAGATGGTCGATGAGATCCAAAATGGAACCAGTGTGAATTACACTCTTCACCTCTTGCCCACTTGCTTCCTGGAGGGTGCTGCAAGAATCCAGGCTCATGGACCAGATGAAGAAATTTCAGATCTCACTGACTTTTTCCGTCCAAATCCTCCAGATTCCTTGGCCAACGGAATTCCATTGACCCAACGAGGAAGACGCATGAAAAACCTTGGGGTTTCATTGGCACAGTGGGACCAGGCCATTGTAGCTCAGGGATCTGCCATTTTGAGACCGCAGAGCTTTGTGAAAAAAGGTGATCCCAAGCGTCCAGTAGTTCATCACCTGTTTTTCCATGAAAACCATGGCGAAAAAAGGGAGTAAGCCATTGTTTCATTGTTTCCAACATCTTCGGGACCCTATCAGCCACGTTGACCCTATTGACCCGATGAAAAAGTTTCAAGATGTATACCTTAGGACAGCCTTGTCCTGTCCCAGAAAAACCTGATAGAATCCGTGGGTGATACCCTCTGGTTATTTAACATAGCCATGGAAAATGGCCCATTTATAGATGGTTTACCTATTAAAAATGGTGGATCTTTCCATGGCTATGTTAAATAACCAGATGGTATATTAAATACCAGAATGATATAATTAACATGCATGAAGGATGTTGAGGGTAGCTACGGCTTTTGTAAGATACGGGCTAGTAGCGAGGCGAATTCTGACGCCCAGCCGATTCCAGCCTGTTCCAGATTCCCATTGGTTGGTTAATCGGTAACCTCACATGAAGCAAGAAGTAAACTATTGCAAATGATGCAATGGTAATTGATGGTCAAATGTTGGTTGGATGAACATCCTTTCAACAGATTGTACATGATTGTACCAACTATTTTGGTGTAATATATCTACTTAGGTTTTGATCTATAGTCTATATTGGTAGGCACGGGGGATTGAGTAATTCTGGGGAAAAAACCGTGGTGCCTTCCAAAATGCACCGAATGAACCCATAGCCATAGCCATTTAAGCTATCATATACACAACTTGCCATAGAGCCAGATGCATATATATATATTATATATATATCACTGATGAATCATATAGCCATATCAAAAAAACTTGGGGGTGCATCCCACTTGGTAAATGGAATATATATATACCCCCAGCTATTAATATTTTGAATACATGGAATATCCCTTATTATATACGGGATGATATGGGTTGTGTATATATATATAAACCACAGATCCTAAGTGGGATGCACATCCAAGTAAAAATGCCTCAGATACCCTCTGGTAATGGCTGACATAGCTATTGAAAATGGTCATTTATAGTGGATTTTCCCATTAAAAATTGTGATTTTCTATAGAAAAATGTTAGTTTACCAGAGGGTACAATGCTGACCCGCTACGAATGTCCACCAGGTCTCTTTCCTTTTGGATGGCGTGCCGCATCACGTGGCCGGCGCATGGCAGCAGTCGAAGAAACTCGCGCAGCGAGACACCGCAGAAAGATGCCTAGGCGCGGTGGAATGGGGCCGAAGGAAATGAGGCCCTGGTTATATGGATTATCCTAGGCATCCTAGGTCCTAATTTTTAACATCACCTGGGGAAACAATCCTGAAGAAATACCTGAAGGCGATGGTTTTTCAAATTCTGAAAACAGGACATTTGCCAACCTCTTTTTTTGTTTCTATAGGGGATATGATATATATATATATATAGTGGGCATGCACAATAGGAATATTTTCTACTGGGATTAACGTGATGGGAATATCATGGGACATCTACTGAGGCCACTGTTTTCAGATGATGTGGATTCAACTGAGCCACTAGGGGATTAACCAATGGCAAGTCTTCAGAACCTCCATGGTTTCCATGGATCAACCGCGATTTCCTGTAGTAACCGTATAAACAAGTCCATTAAACTCCATTGAACCACTCCAATGCTTCGCTGTTCTTGAAGCTACTGACGTTAAAACTGGTGAGTTCCCCCCGCCATGAGCCAGGTCTCTTTGTGGGCTGCTGGGGTACCTACCTGCTGCAAACCACGGAGAGTAGTGATGCTGCAGTCGACATGCAAGACGATCCAGTCCTGGCGCTCCAGAAGCACCTCGCCGGAGAGAGAAACTTTGAGCCCCAAAGTTCGACTTTTCGTTGAAAAAACCATCAGAGTTGGTGATTTGATAAGGATTCTAAGGCTTCTTTAAAGGTTTGGTGAAACCAGGATTTGGCCCAATGATATCAGAGTTTTAGTTCTTGGAATTGATATTTGTTCGAATATTGCCCGGACCATATCCCATTCTTTATTCCAATGATGTATTCCCAATACAAAGGCATACGCATACATATTATATATCTATATATATCATATTATATCAGATATCCTATATCATATGTCAGAATTCACATATGATATATCGTATACCATCAAACATATCATATATCATCGAATATATCATATATTCCAATAATATATATCATATATTTCAATAATATATCATATATTCCAATAATATATCATAATATAACCATGATCTCTTCAATTTTTTTCTCTGGTTATTTGACGGTTCGCTCACTGGAACATCTACCAGGCCATGGCTTGAAATATGGCACTGAGGTTCTGCAGCTCCTTCCGACCGTGCAATGGACAGGGGCCCACATGGTGCATCGATATGGAGGTGAGACCGGGAGACCGGAATCGGATGATATATATATATGTGATCCTCTCTATCTCCCTCTCTGTCTCTCTTATGGTAAATACATTATATATATATATATACATACGCATAATATATATATATATATGTATTATATGTATTTATATAGATATATACATGTATTACATACGAATATATATATATATATAATACATACACATTTGCAATGATTCCCCGACAGGACATATTGACTTTTGGGTCATTTGAGGGTCCTAGTCCTACTTTGGTAGGGGCATCACCTGTGACATGGTCTTTTCCATTTCATTTCTCTCTGAAAGCCAAATACATGGTAAGATGCAGGCGTGCAAGGTTTGTTGAGCTATACGTAGTTGGAACCAACCGATAGCTTCAAGTATGGCTATGGGTCAAAATTTACACAGGGGACCATAGATCTTGTTTAAATGTATCATTATTTATTCCCATGATGTATGTATATATATATACATATTCATTCCCATTCTGCCTGCTAATTCCAGCCCTTCCGTTTCTTATGCGCCCGTTCTTATTTGTAAAGATGCTTTTTTTTGTTGGGTTCCTCCCCATGGCAGTTGGTGCTTCGCAGTCGGCAGGCTGGAAGGTGCAAAGCCACAGCAGAGATCACTTTGTTGGGAGTCAG